TTATATAATTATTTCTATAAATTAATCTGGCTAAATAAGGCCATTACTGATTAGTTTTCAGTACTTGTATCAATTTTTATCTGAAGGAAAGGAAAATTTTCACATCTTTACCTCATGCTGAATCTCAAATTTACTGCTAGTTAAACATTATCACATAATTTTAATTTCAGTGCTGGGCAGATTTGCACTGAATGAGAATCAGTTGATGGAGGCATCTGTTGAACAGGATCCTTTGGGGCTTCGGTTGCCTCTGGTCATGGCTGCTAAGAGTTAAAGAGGGAATGATCTGATTCATGCTCCCAGCCTTTTCAGACCCTAAATGGACATTTCAGTGCAATCTCACAACTCTTTATATGAAAGTATTTTCTTCAAGTCTGGAATGAGAGCAAATTCTGCAGTGGTGCAACAGAGTGGTCAGGGGCAGTTCACTGCTGTTACCTGGAGTGAAATCTCCTCTCCAAGAGGGAATGATTCCCAACTTATTTCCTTTTGCACAGAGGAACATAGCAGAAACCTTCACAGATCCAATAGTTGCATGATTCAGACAATCCTGAATTTCTTCCTGAATGGAGGACAGTTTGCTTTCCTTTTCCCCAGCACCTATGGAGGTTTACAGCAAGCCATGCAATCACATTTTAAGCTCTATTTTTCCAGTCATGCCTGGCTGTGGAGCTGCACTAAAGCTGTCAGCCTTATAACAAACCCTCACACAAAACTATCTGGAGCAGTTCACAAAACCTTCAATTAATTTTGATTAGCACCTTGCTCTCAAATGGTTCTGTCTAAATCTCAATAGATATATTTGTGCTGTTGTCTTTGATATAAATAAGCTGAGAAACTGTGCCCCCAGTGCTGTCAGCTCACTGAAACACTGGCCATGTCCTTGTAGGAACTGGAGAATTTTGGAAAGGCTGGTAGTGCTCTGCAAATACTCTGCTATGGATCTCCTCCTCAGAGTCCCATGACTAGTGTGTGGAGGCTGAAAAAGTAGCACCTTAATTTGGCTTCTCCCCTTCCATAATTCTATTTCTGTTTCTTGGCATCCTTTCCTAGTAGCCACAGTTGTTCCCTCCTTCTGGTCGTTGCTAATCTCATTCCTTGTCCTAAATCTCATCTGTTTTTCATAATTTCTCCTTCCCTTGTATGAGCATTTTTCCCTCATCTTTGAGCTGAATATTAATCTTACTGTATGATTCTATGATCTCTTGTAGATTCCTTTCACAGCAGAGTATGCAATTCTCCACTATGTCAAAAAGCCCAATTTGTATTACATCCCTTGCACAAACACCCTCTGTCTAAGCTTGGCATTTCTCTTTCTCACAGCTGAAAATTATGCTGAATATACCAAAGCAAGCAATGCTTGCTCTCTTTCAAGCTGTTTTATCTATTGTTATTCTTTTGCATATGCACTTAGTTGATTTTCCTTTTTTTTTCTTTCTTTTCTTTATCCAAGGACTTGCAGCATTGATTGCCTTCAAATTTTATGTAACAATTTGCTGTTAGCATCAATAAGATGCAGTGTAAGCTGCTGCAAATCCTGCTTCAAACAGGACATACACTGCCTCTGAGATAAAGAGTGCTCTGTTGACAAAATGCATTCCAATATAAGAGATGAGATTTAATTATCTGGAACTCCAAACAGGAGCTGTACCATTTCAGTCCATGTGATTATTAATAGAATTAATACTGCTCAGCAAAATCGACACTCAGACCAGTGGTAGAAAGAAATTCAAAAGTTGTTTTAAAAAAAAGCAGAAACCTTTATTTTAAAGTTTTGTTGCTCATTTTCTCTTTTCCTCCTTTTCTTCTAGTCTGACACAGAGTTTTGGGATAAAATGCAAGCGGAGTGGGAAGAAATGGCTCGCAGAAACTGGATTTCAGAGAACCAGGAAGCACCAGGGCAAGTCACCATCTCAACCATCGAGAAGGTAACACCAGGTTTTTTATTGCAGTACAGCTTTGAGATGAGCCTCAGCTCTTCCAGGGAGCCCAAGGAAACTCTTGGACATGAAAGATAATTTTGCCCCAAAGAGTTCATCCTCTTTAATTGCCTGTGGGTGGGGCAGATTTGAAGACCTTGCCACAGTGGGAACATGTTTAGGCTTGCACACAGCCTAAATTCAGCTGAAAGGATCACAAAGCAACTGCTGGATTTATGAGCACTTTTGAAATCAGGCACTTAAGGAAAAGCACCAAATAAAAATACCTGGGCCAGCACATTCAAACACTGTTGAGGATAGAAATTATGGAGATTCCTTCTCCTTTCTTCATTCCTTCCACTCCATATTCAATTTGATTTCTATTATGTAGCTGATATTACCACACACCCTTTACACTGCAGTGACAAGAGAGAAAGGCAAAACTTCAAGGATTGCCAAACAAACTCAGGTGCTTGCAGCACAGTTGTGTGTCTGGAAGGTTAATTGAGGATTTCAGGATTTTAGCTGAGCAGCTGTGAGGTTATGATCTCTGCAGGGATTCAGCTGCTTGGTGTGTTCTTTAGCACCACTTTGGATGTCCTGGGCTCAGAGGTTCAGGTCTGCTCTTGGGCGCTGTGAGATGTTGACATTGCCTGTGATGGAGAGCCCAGCACAAGCACCACTAGGTACAACTGCAGAGCTAAATTAAAAATAAAGAGCAGAAACATAAATGCCTGGTGATGTGACTTTTTCCACTTTTTGTCATTGAAATCCCACGGGGGGAGCTGGTGCCATTTCCACAGAGCAAAGGTTGTTTACACCATTTGGAAAGCAGTGAGTCACTGCATTTTTTAGACTTGTCATTCTCTGCAACTTGCCATTCACCACGGCTCCATTATCTCTCTGCTCCAGGGTTATTATTTCCACACTGACAATCCCTTCAAAGACTGGCCTGGTGCTTTTGAGGAAGGACTGAAAAAAATGAAAGAAGGTGACCTGCCTGTTACAATCCTCTACCTGGAGGCTGCAATTCTCCAGGAGCCCAACGATGCTGAGGTATTCACTGCTCTGCCTCCTCCTGGCAAAGGGAAAGGGAGCTCCCTGCAGCAAGGAATGAGGGAATGGTTTCTGGGCTCAAACCTGTGCCAGGCATAACTGACCGAAACATTGGATTCCAAGGGTTATGAATTAGTGTGTGCCTTTAAATAGATAACGAGTTCTTCACTGGATGAGAATCTGGTTTTGAAATATTTTTATTTGAAGTATTTCAAACCTTCCCTTCACATCCTGATATTTTCAAACTGTCTTGTAAACACTGCTATCAAAAGATGAATATTTTTGATTTAACAAGACTGCTGAAAAAATTTTAAAGTTATATAAATTTCTTCATGTTGCTGTTTCGACTGGTTTATATTTAAAGTCTGTTTTTTGTGAAATGTTAAAAATATTTACGCTGTATCTAGGGCTCTTTGAATCTCCTCCTACATTAAATTAAACAGAGCACTTCAAAAAATCAGAGAATCCCAATCTCCCTAGGAAGCCCTAATATATAATATACATATAATATATTTAGAATAACCCCTATATATAATATAAAACAAAATAATTGTTCTTCTATATTTTCCATAAAATTGAAGCAAAATAAAAAATGTACAGTAACTCAAATTTAAGAGATCAACATGTGATTGTACACTGACAGAATGCCCATACATTTATTGACTATGAATATTCGTTAGCCCCAAAGATATTCAGAACTGCATTGATTGGGACTGTTGGTGTGCACACTGTAGAAAAATCTGTGGTTAGTGCTGGACATATCTGCTGCTTTTCCTCACCCCTGTGTTTAACAGTGATTTTGGTTGTAACTCTGTTTGCAGTTGGATATATGGAAGAAACTAAATAAATGATTGTTATTTTTGCAGGCCTGGCAGTTCCTGGGTATTACACAGGCAGAAAATGAAAATGAGCAGGCAGCCATCGTGGCCCTCCAAAGGTAAAGGGAGATCTGTCCTAAACCTGGGGTCTGATGAGTGCTGGGTATTGGAGACCTGGGGATGTTTAATGCCATCCCTACCTTGGAATGAGAAGCATTTGTTCAGCAGAGTAGAGCATTGAGAGATATAGAAATTCCCAGTGACTTCAGAGGGATGACTAGTGATTGATAGTTCTGTTTTATTAAATAAGTGAAATATTTCATGGAGTAATTCAAGTACATGCACAAAAGAAAAGTTACATTGCCTAATAAATACGAGTTAGGCATGATGCAAATGAAGTGCTTTTTTTACATTCCAGCCACTTGGCATATTTTCTGTAGTCTGTCCTCTAATGAAGAGGTTTTCTTAATTGGAGTGAGCTCCCTTCAGCTGCTGAATGCTAAACTGCCAACAGCTTTAGGTTGATGGAGATGTAAAGATCACAGAATTCTTGTACGTAAAATGTGAGGTCCAAAACATCAGCATTATTATTACTATTATTATCTTTCTGTAATGGGTTTTTATGTTTCCATTTCAAGCAATATTCAATTGCATCAGCACTGATAACCATGAAGTTATTTCACCTAAGGATACTCAAACTTGTTTATATGTCCCTTATTAGCTTACCTGGATAGAAATCCAAGGGGTTGCCTGGTTAGGAGCAAAAAAAACCAAACTGATCATCAGCAGTTTTCAAAAGAGCAACAGTGATGATTGTGATTTTCTTCACATGGATTACTTTGGAACAATTCAAGCATTGTGCTTGGCTGCAGAAATTTCTCAATATATTTTTTATTTTCTGCCTAGGTGCTTGGAACTGCAGCCAAACAACCTGAAAGCCCTGATGGCCCTGGCTGTGAGTTACACCAACACTGGCCATCAACAAGAGGCCTATCAAGCCCTGAGAAACTGGATAAAGCAAAATCCAAAGTACAAGTACATAGTGAGAAGCAAAAAAGGGTCCCCAGCACTGACAAGGAGGATGTCTAAGACAGCAGATGACAGGTAAATGCAGTGGAAATCCTCACAGTGGAAATACAAATGATAGCCCTAGAACTGGTGGTGTCTGCTGTATCCCCTTGTTCTGTAGAAGTCCAGCCTGTTCTCTATATTGGAAGAACATGTCTCTAATAGCAGGAGAGGGAAGCCAACAGAGAACATTTGATTTAATGACTGAAGGCTTTATCTTTTATGCCATCCCTGGAAGTTAAAAAAAAACAGAAACACCAAAAAAAGCCAAAAAAACCCACAACCAAACAACAGCTTAAAATGGATGTTTCTCTTCAAATCCCATCCCTTTCCTCCATCCCTGTCTCCTGCCTTTCTGTTCCCATATCCTGCACCCTCATCCTTCAGCTGCTTCCATATCCATACTGAGCCTTTATCCAGCTCTACCTGTGTGTGTTTTTCCTACTGTTCACTGTTCCTGCTGTTTTCCATATCCCAGCCCAGCAGAATGCAGGAATGAGCCATTTTGCAGTGCAACCTGGGTTCTCTGAAAATATTGGGAGGTGGCACCTGCTTGTTTAAAAGCTGTTGTGGTTCTAACCAAGAGACAACACAGCCATTTGATTTATCTTGGCCATCTTAAATTAAAAAAAAAATAAAAATCATGATTTGACAGCCCCTCATCATGATTTCATGAGGACAAGAAACAAGTACCTCTGGGCTGTGAGATGCATGATAAAGTCATTAAAGGCATAAACATGATTTAGAGAACCAAACCACTCAGGCTATCTCACTGCTTGTCATTTTGAAGACAGGCCTTATGTTTTACCCTCATCACTTACAAGTCTTGGGTTGACAAGATAATTTCATGTGAGTAAAAATAAAATATGCAGGTTTTGCTTAATTGCTAAGTGTGTTATTCTACTTTGGCTTCATCCTACTGACATCTGGTGCTGTCAGTGCAAAGGTTTTAAGTGGGCACAGAAGTCTTATGTTTTGGCATCTTTCTTCAAGGGTCTTGGCTGGTCCCTTATGTATTCCTCTTAAAAATACTACTAATTTTGCCAGTAAAGAACTGTTTTATGTCTGAGAAACTCATCTAATTTGAATAATTTTAATAAACCTTCATGTCATTCCACTTGGGTTCACAGCTGTACTTTGACCTCATTTCATAGATGAACTTTTTTTATTTCAGACGTGAGTTTACAACAGCACCCTGAAGTAAACCTTTGCCATGATGAAGAAGCTCATTCACAAATTTTAGGAATATAACACTTCTGATAAATCCACTACAAAGATTTTAATTTGAGGCTATGCAATCAACATTGAAATATTTGAAAATAACTGTAAGTTATGTTTCTTCCTTGTCTAGCTCATTGCTTGAAGAAGTAAAGGATTTGTACCTGGAGGCTGCTCACCAGAATGGTGATATGATAGACCCTGACCTGCAGACAGGACTTGGGGTTCTTTTTCACCTGAATGGAGAATTTAACAGAGCAATAGATGCATTTAGTGCCGCTTTAACTGTTCGACCAGAGGTACATTTTAAACTTTTACATTTTTTTAAATTTAGTTTTACAGGCCATTTCCACTTTCCTGTCTGGATCAGGCTATTATTAATGACATGTCACTTCTGCTATTAAAATTTTAAAACCCAAAATAGAAATGTTAATTACAAGACATAATTAACATGGTCATTCTTCTGTTTAGGAGCAGATTTATGCATGTCCAATTCCTACCTATGTGCTGATTAATGATATTAAATACATAAAATTGCTTTTGATCACGAGTCAGAGCCTCACATTCCTTATCAATTAAGATACAATACTACTATTTTATGCAGTCCTCTTCCTTTGCAAGCAAAAATGAGACATACTGTAGAAAAGCCATTTTCTCCCCAGGACTATACCTTGTGGAACCGCCTTGGGGCAACCTTGGCGAACGGGGACCGCAGTGAGGAAGCTGTGGAAGCCTACACAAGAGCTCTGGAAATCCAGCCTGGCTTCATCAGGTCCAGGTACAACCTGGGGATAAGCTGCATCAACCTAGGGGCATACAGGTGAGCACAAAAAGATGTGTGAACAAAGAGTCAGGCATCACAACTGCCAAGGAAAAATTCATTCTAAAGCTGGAGGCATCTAAGAAAAAAAATAATCAGAATATAGCTACATAAGGTCAGCTATTGTAAAATGTTGTCATATCATTTTACAGAGGACTAAAATGCAGTTTTTTAGCTCTATGTGTAAGTACTCTTATAATCAGTGGGATTGTTCTTGCACTTAAAATAGTCCAGCTCTTAAGAGCCTCTGTAAAAGAAAATGTAAGAGCCTGTCTTTTAAAGGAAAACTTGAGTTAAACTGCTTCTAGTAGGGCCATCAAAGACATCCTACAGGAATGAAAGTGTTATTCAAGATGATATTCCAGGGTCCCAGCTGTCAGGTTGAGACATGAAGATGAAGGGGAGCTTTGCTGAAATGAAGACAGTGCCCCCAAATGTTTGGGTAGACTGAGTTATGTGTTACCCCAAGCCAGGCCCTCCTGTTTGATGAAAATCAAGCAAGAACAACACATTGTATTATTTTACATTGTAAAATAGTGTATTTAAGCCTGGCATGGAACTTTAAAAAGTTTGCCTGTAGTTGTTAAGCAAATTATAATGTTGTTTCTTTTTTCTTTTTCTTCTTCCCAACAGAGAGGCTGTCAGCAACTTCCTCACTGCTCTCAGTTTGCAAAGGAAAAGCAGGAATCAGCAGAACGTTCCCCACCCTGCTCTATCAGGCAATATTTGGACAGCACTTCGGATTGCTCTGTCTATGATGGACCAGCCAGAACTATTCCAAGCTGCCAATGTGGGTGATCTAGACATTCTCTTAAGAGCTTTTAACCTAGAGCCGTAATAAAAAGGATTCACAAATTGATTAAATTGTGTTAGGAAACAGAGAACTTTTTTATTACTCATCCCCAAATGACCACATTTTCCAAAAGATCATGACTGTAGATCAGTAGGGGAATTCCTTCAGACATTATTCATAAAGGGAAAGTTCAAAAGCACAAAAATAGTGTAAATAAATTCAAAGTCAAAGGGTTGAAATGAGCTGTGGCTAATCGGACAAAGCCCTGAACTAGATGAAATAGCAATTTCTGAAGAATCTCCATCCCATGCAAGCTATATCTCTCTACATACATACAGCTGTAAAAAGAAAAGTATCTTAACAAGAAACCTAGATAATGGTTATTGCACCTTAGAGTGGCAAGCAGTGCATCCAAGGAACCTGCTTAGTAGCTCATTGCACTATGCTGACACCACTTTGCCCCACACTGGGGATTCCCTATCCTTTGGTTTCTTTGATGAAAAATCTTCCCAAGGTCCATTTTTAACACAGCTCTGAAAATAGATACATGTACAGGGATGTGTTTTGTTTTGAATGTATTTATTAGCTGGCAATCAATGTTTTGCTTCCAAAGGTACCTGGTTTAATTTGGGCCCAGTTCTGCAGGCTCATGGGCCATGTGCAGTGTCAGGAGGAGCACAGTCCATGCAGGGCTATGGAGTGAGGCCAGGTACATTTGGGGAAGCCAGGTGTTGCCAGCAGAAGAGGCAATTTGCACTGGAATTGTTGCTGTTCAAACCAGCTCCTGAAGGAGCTCGTGGCAGGGTCTGCACCTTTCTGTGTACTTAATGCACTTTAATCTTTCTTTTTGTAAAATAGTGCTATGCTTTTCTTTTAGTCACCAACAATGAAATGTACAGGATGGCCTTGTTGGCAGAGAGGACCAAATATAACTTCCTGAAATGTAATGAGAGGATTCTCAATATTTTTATGTTTAAAAATGGAAATACAGTATAAACTGCATTAACAGCTAGAAAGATTATTATATGCATCCATCAGGTACTGCACATATACATGCATGTGCATGCACATACATGTTGAATGCAAATTATGTCATTTCAGAACATAAAAAGCTACAGATCTTTGTTGCAAATGAAGAAAAATATTTGTAGGGATTACTGCCTGCAGACCATGCTCAAGGGAAAACCTTCCCTAAAGAAATTGGTCTGTACAATGCTTGTAGGATTGAGACCAAGGCTCCATCCTGCTGTTATGGCAAACAGCAGCAAAAGTCTCCACAACCTCCATGATACCAGAGAAAATCCTCAGATAACACCAGTATGTGTGGCTGCTCACAGATGTGTGCATAAACACACTATTTCCATTTTCCCTGGCTGGATGAATGGGGAGCAGGGTTGGGGCAGTACCAATCCCTGATGAATGGATGGATTCAGCTACAATCAAACACATTTAGCTCAGGGTGACTGTGTCAATCAAAAAAGGCAGAGAGATTTTTAGGAGGTGATTTTCAGTTGTTGATATTTTAAATATTTTTCCTGAATAGCAAAAGATAAAAAGTGTTATTGGATGTGTTGATCAGGAATTCAGTTTGCAGAGTAGCTATGGAAATGTGTTAAAGTGGGACAAATAGCACATTTCCTATAAACAACATTAGAAGAAAAATCCAGCTCAGAGGTCTAAAAAAAGAAATCCAACTGCACAGATCACAGAGAAAGATGCTCTGTGGGAGTTGGACAGTTTCACCAGTACAAACCTAAAGTTTCTTGCAGCTGTCTGTTATTTTGAGCCACCACTTAAAGGAAAATTCCATGTTAAGACAGTGTAATCACTGCATCTAATCACCATCTATAGGTTGTTAAATACAAATAATTCTCATTGGGAAAATAAAAGTCTTACTCCTCACTCTCTCCCACTCAGAAGAGATGACAAAACAGCCACCAAAATTTTTAGGAGTGCTGTATTAATGCCTTGTTTACACATATATTCCTGTTTACCTATCAGGTGTTTCATAACTGATTCCTGCAGCTTTCTCTGAGGATGGGAGTGCTGGGAATGTCACTTTGGCTAAGTGGGCTGCTGTGTGCATATCTGCTGACAACAGTTTGCTCTTTTGCTTTGACAGCGATGTCTGATGACAGCTCTTTATTGATAAGGCAGAGCAGAAGGTGCAGTGCAATTGAATCTGGGAAGTGATAAGAGAGAAGGGAGGCAGCTTTGAGAAGAGGCTGTAAAGCAAAGGCATATGTGCTTAGGTTTTGCTTGATGCCCTGCCATCACCACAAGTTCTTCTAGGATATCCTTTGTGCTGGGGTGTAGGATAATCAGTGCTTATGCAGAGGAATTAGCTGTTCAGGGACTTTATTTTTGTATCTTTGAAATTAACAACAACAACAACAACAAAAAAGTATTTCTCAGAGTCAAAATGACAAGGGGTATTTGATACTTGTGGCAGTTCAGTAAACATCTCCTCCAGCCTGTGGATGAGTAACACAGAAACCATTAGGAAAATGTTATGCAAGTCCAAGCCTCTCCAAAAAGTACAGACTAAGTAGGTAGCTCTTGGTTTATCCTGGGATGCACTGCTGAAAACTGCATTTATCTGCTGACACATGTCCACACCCATGGGACTGGCAGGAGCTGTGTGTGTAACCTTGGGACAGCTCAGCAGGGCTGGGCTGTGCCCTCCAGGCAGGCTGAGCCCCCAGCCCATCCCAGCTCTGATCCCAGGTGCTCTCTCTGCTCTAGTTAGCCTGTGTGCCACTGACAGGCTAAAGCAGGGCAGATGGGAGGGGACAGGGGCACATCTCACACAGCTCTGGACTGGTCACTGTGGGGCAGTGCCCAGAGACTGAGCTCACCTCACTCTAACAGGTCAGACCCAGCAACTCTTGAGACTTCTGGGCATTCCTTGGGATCCTGGGCTTTATCACCCTCCTTCAGCCCCCTTGCCAAGCACTGCCAGTGCAGCAGGCAGGACTAGAGACAGCTTTGAGCTGACCTCCTCTTGGCTTTCCTTAAATATTCAGGACAAGTTTGTATATTTGCCTGAAACAGCAAGAGGAAACATGAGGAAGCAGCAGCATATTAACAACCTGAATAGAAAATTCATCTCCTTATGCTTCTAACCAAGCATGAGGTGGGATAAAGATAAATAAGGCAGGTGCTGAACAGTAGCAGATTGAGCCTGAGAGTGAGAGACAGCAAATCTGGGTCCTGTTCTCAGCACTCCCTGGGAGCTCGACCAAGCCAAAGCCTCCTGCCATCCCTGACCTGCCCAGGTGTGCAAGGAGGGAAGGAAGATGGGGACAGCATTCCTGGCACTCCCTGGGAGCAGGGGGCAATCACTGCCTCCCACTGCAGGGGCCAGGTCACCCTCCCCTGGGCAGGAAGGTGACACAAACACAAGGGTGCTTAGGTCTAGGGAAGCAGCTTCACACAGAAACTACTGATTTCAGCAGAGGAGAGACTCAGGCATTTCAGACTGCTGTGGAGCATCCATGAGGTGAGGCCCAATTAGACTGCTGCAATGGTGTATCACCATGTCCCACTCCTCTTTCCCTTTCTTGTTACTCCTCTCTTTTTCCAGAGGTGATTGATCACTGCCAGGCAACTGATTCCAAGTTTTTGAACAAACTTTTTTTTTTTCCTTTTTTTTTCTTGCATTTAAAAAAAAAAGTTTTCCTACCCCGAGCATGGGATTGACCTTGTCCTCCGCAAAGCTTTAGGAATAGTTATGACCTAGAAGCCTGATCCATGAAACTGCTGAACCTGTAAGCCTGGAGTCTGCACTTTGCATGACCAGTTCACATGCAGGTGTTGCAGGAGAGGGCTGGCTCTGGTACCACTGCAGGTGCTGGGCAGGAATCCCAGGGACTGTGCAGGGAGTGAGGCTTTGCCATGAAGGCAAAGGGCTCTTGGCTGCCTGACCTCTTTGAACTGGGATGTCACAGGGGCCTGGTGGCCACAGGCTGCTTTATGTCAGCTGGAAGAACCAATCTGACTTTTAGGCACATACATAAATGCACCTGTGTCCAGTGGCGTTTCCTTATGATCTGACAAATCACAGCTCTTGTAAAAATATCGAGGGGGAGGTTCAAATGACACAAAAGCTCATGTGACAATATTGCATGCAACTGCATTAACCAGTAACCACTCTGCAATATTAACCCCCAGCATGCAGCAACACTACCTGAGCATGTGTTTAGAGAATGCATGCAGAAGGCTCACACATAGGCTATTCCAAAACTATTGATTCACATCATCTGTGGAACATTTTACAAGTCCTTTGCATCTGTCAGACTCAAATCTGAGTTGTTCATATTACCTGGAACAGGCCAGACCAAACACAGAGCCCTTTTAAAATCCCCTCCTTAGAATTCACTTTGTGTTGTGGGTTTCACTGTTGCTCCAAGTGTTTAATTAATAACAGACATCTGTATAGCAGCTTTTGCAGACATGTTTTAGTCCTGCTTTTTAGTCCTGAGAGCAGGACCCTCTCAAGAATGAAAAAGCTAAATCTGCACAGCTTTCACAGTGAAGCTGGGTTGTTTGGATTTTCACATTTTCAACTCTAGTCTCAACCACAGAACAGCCAGCTATCCTAGGAATATCCACAGCGCACTCCATGGCAGAAATAACAGCAGCTGTCCTCACTGGTACAGCCAGAGCCTGAGGCCTCAATCATTGTCTGCTGGAGCCAGTGAGAAATGGAGCAGAGCATAAATTGGTTGTAGATCTCTTTTGCCCAAACTTGCATCTGCAAAACGAGACATATTAGTTATTTTCGCATGAATTACCTGCACAGTTGAAAAAATGTGATTTCTGGTCACCAGTGTTGTCAGCTTAGCAGTCTGTACAGTGAATCTATGTAATAAATGTTAATAATATACCAATTATTCACAAAAATGGTAAGACAAAATGCACTGCACGTTGTGAAAAAAAAATGGTGGATATGCAATACAGTATTATCTACTATTCAAACCTTACCTAGGCTAGAATCAGATTCCTTCATTATGGTTCTACTGATTTTTGGACTGGTGAAATAAATCAGAGAGAACAGGAGTGCCATGCATGAAGAGATCACTGACACTTTGAACAAAGGTAGGAAAATGAAAAATAGGCATGTCAGAGAATCCATGGGAAGCTTCAGAGCCTCAGCCCACAAAGTAACAGGTGTTAGGCAAGGTAAAGAGACAGAAGGAATCTAAATTTTCCTACAATATGCTGTAACATTACAAATGCTTGCAATATGTGACAGCCCATTGAGCAAGCTTGCATGGTCAAGACTTGATGTGCTTTGATCTCTTTTCCCCTTCTACATTTACAGAATGCCATCGACATTGGCTGAACCTTTAATTTAAATAGCCTTTTTAATATCAGTAAGCTATTGTAAATTCAGAAAAATAAAAAAAATTTATAAATATATTTTATATATCAGAGTATAACATATCTAGAGTAAAATAAAACTATATAGTTTTGAGAGGCATTCTGTGTGGCTTCTTCTATATGCTGTAAACTGTTTGAAAACCTTTGCAATCTTGCATCAGTTCTTTTGGCTTTATTTTTAAGCCAACATAGAGGAAAGAAGTGATTCCAGGGTTGGCAGATCCTTTCACCTGGGCCATCTGAAGAGCCCTGCTGCTGCTGCACAGCCTGCAGAGCTCCCTGGGCCCGTGGGGCAGCGCAGGCAGGGCTGGGCAGCACTGCCCAGGTGGGAGCTCAGCCCCACACCTGAATGTTTACATTCCCTTCCCAAGGCTCACACTGACCCAGATTCAGAATCTGAATGTAAGAACATCCTGGGTGCAAGGTCAGTTTCTTACCACAGGTAACTCTGCCTCTGTATGCTTCGTGCATTATCAGCTGTGTACAATATTAAACACAGACTATAGTTTACTGATGCTTTAATTTGGTGTTTCCCTGCACTGCTGTTTAAAATAATCTATTTCCTCAAAAAAGAATGATGTGCATACTGGATGTGTTAAGTTTATTAAGGTCATAGATGACTATTTGCAAAGCACCACACTTAATGTAGTATTTTTGTACTGTAATGGAAGCATGCCTTCCTTGGGTTCTTTTCCACATATTAAATTGTATTTATTAATTGTATTTATAACTGTGCAATTTTTAAATATGTTTTAAAAATAAACTTTGTCTGTGGCTTCAAATATTTCAAAATCTCTTTTCAACTTGAAAGGGTCTTGACTTCAATTACTTAAATGGAAAGGAGGGATCTAAGTCTCCAACTGAAAGGATTTTTTCAATAAGGTATTCTATTCTATTGTTTACCAATTGAACACACTTCTCTGCTTAAAAGTAAAGTTCAGAATATGCTTTTGTTCTCATTTTTCCTAAATTCATTGTTTTTCTGAGGCAGAGTTATTTTTAGAATTGATTTTCATTTTGACATGTTGCTCAATTATACTTACAACTGGAATTTATACCAGCTGAGGCCTGGCCCAAAGGGCTCTGCACATACAGCCCATATGAGGAAAATAGGAAAAAAGTAGATAAGAATTTTTCCTGAAGGCCGTGCAATAATTAAAACAGAAGTAATAATATCCCAAACCAACCTTTATGAAAAGCAAAGCCAACATGCAGTGACTGAAATCACTACTCAGGCAATTTCCCACATACCACTGTAGGAGCTGGCTCTCAGCATTTCCCAGTTCTGTCCTCCATGGGATGAGGTGAAAGTGCTGACAAGGCTGATGTCATTCCTGCTCTGCTTCTGCTGTGAGACACCAACACAGGCACAGACACCAGGCATAAAAATTCCTGTGTGCTGCTGTGGACAGGAAAGCTGACAGCCAAGCAGGGGCAGGGACAGTGACAGCACAGGGCCATGGAAAAAGCAGGATTCTCTCCATGGACATGGGGCTGCTCCAGAAAACAAACAGAACACACAGCCATGGTTTGCCTGCAGAAGGAAAGCTCTGTCAGAAAAAAACCAACTGGCAAAATCCTATGGCTTTAACCAGAACCTTCCACCAAGGAACAAAAAGGAACCGACACACAAACCACACTAACCCTTAGGTTAGGACAAAATTAACTGTGGGCTCTTGACACTGGTGTGTTTTGCTGGAGATATTAAAGCTAGTTTAGTTCTTTTTGCTAGTTTAGTTCTTTTTGCTCAAATGCACTGACAAAGCAGCAGCAGGAAAATCCTTTGGTTCTGTGCTCCAGATCAGGAATACAGCACTGCTGTCCTAAAGCCAAAGGCAGTGGGAGAAAAGCATCAGTACCAAATCCACATGCAAAACTGCTCAAAAATCACTGCTAAAGACATCTGAAAACATAATCACCCACTCCAAACAGCTGTCAGTCATGCAGTAACTGTTTTCAATGATTTTACAGCATTTCAGTAATTTTATAGGCTGTCAGTGCTGCCCTTATTTGGGTAAGGCTTGTACACCTGAGGGACAATCTCCCACTTCAGTGAGGGGGAGCAGAGGGTGGGAACTTGTCAGGTATCCAACACTGCTTCCCACAAACAGCCTGCAACAGCCAGGCACAAATCCCATACAGGAAACTCCTGGAAATTGTGAACAGAGCTGGTTAGCTTCTACAGAGAGCCACTCTCCACCTCTCCCACCTCTTCCAGTTGCCACAAGTGGTGTGAACAGCGTGGCTTGGGTTGCCATGGTCACAAGGGACATCTGTGATAGAAGAGAAAACCAAAACAGATCATTAAGTTTAGACTTCAGAAGCTGAACCATCTCTACATTTCTTATCACTCAGCATGGAACATGTCCTCTACTATGTCAATAAGTGTCACTGAGGCCAGTAGATTTACCTCTTACCTCTGCTCCAGCTGCTGGTCCTGTGATCCTATAAAAAGTTGTCCCCTCTCAGTCTTCTTTTTCAGCCTCTTGCATCTACCAGAGTCCCAAAAGTCACATTTCTATGTGAAGAAATACACGTGAGGAAAACAGAGTTCTTTCTCCTTTACTGAGCAGCAGAAGCAATTTCTGAGTATGAGGAATTACAGACCATGATAAAGCAGAAATTTGGAGTGAAATGACAGCACTATTCCACACAAACATTGCCAACTCTTGTGATCAAAGAACATCAAAAGGCCTAACAGTTAAAAACAAACAAACCAGTCTAACTTAAAACCTGATTTCTATTTTTTGCCATGCTGTATATCCATTCAGGGCTTGGGGATTTTACTTTTTTTTTTTTTTTTCCTTAAATCCACAGAAATGCCAGGAGTCACAAGAAATCAAGAGTCTCACAAACCTCTCTATTCCCTATGCAGGGTCTTTCCAAGTAAAACACCAAATGTGAACACAAAGAGTGAGAGGCAGCATCAAAACACATTCTGTCTATTCCTCTCCAGTTCAGACAGGAATAAAGAAGCAAGAATCCACACAGTCACCAGATGTGAGAATATTTCTTTTTAATTTAAAACGGTTGCAACAACGTCATTCACAGCCTTTCTCATCTCAGACAAATACTCTCCAGAAAGTTAACAGTGCTTCAAGCAAACAACTCTGAATGGTGCAAAGTAAACCAGGACAGACACTTCCAGGATACAACAGTAAAACCACTGAAGACTGAGTAGAAATCAGACACCAATCTCAGCCATTGAGGGAGGAAGGGCGACAGGGAAAACAATAAAATGTCCAGTTACATATTTTGCATAGACTTCCAATGCATGAGAACAGCAAAGAGGATAAAAATGGCTGCTGCCAGGATGGAGAACAAAAGGAATCAGTTGGAGAGGTTTCTAAGGAAATCTAATGAGCTCTGGATGCATCCACATTCTGGATGTGTTCTGTGACCTGGTGGAGGCTGTCTGAATCTAGAACTGGGCTGATGTTGGTTTCACTTACACCAAAGTCAGTCAGAGGTAATGGCACTGAACCCAGTGGAGTTACAAGTGATTAGAAGTTCAGAAACATCTACTCTTATTTTAAAACTACAGGTTTGAATAAATTAATTTTTATCCTAATTATATTTTAGCTAGGAAGATTAAATAGGAGTTTGTGTCTACACGTGTTTTGGAGACAGGAGATTGTAACTCAGAATGAGGAGTCTACTGGATCCAGCATACTGCTAGGAATAAGAGAAGAGGAAATCAAGGAAAAGTTATTGAGTTTTTCTTCCTTCCTTTCTCCTAGCCTAAATGTACCATACAAAAATGTAAAAATAAGTCTGAGAAATAAGAGCTTTATTTACTGCCAGGTCCTGGCTTGCTGTGATTCTCAGGTCAGATTGTCTCTAACAGCTCACAGTGATTTTTCTTCCCCCATTCTTTTTTGTCAGGCAGCTCCCAGCTCACGGAGCCCCCAGCACCCACAGGGAGTGTGCCCAGGCTGTGCCCTGGCACATTCAGCACATTCAGCCTGCAGCAGACACAGCCTGGCAGATCAGTCATTCCCTCAGTACAGTCTGTTTCAGTGGGGTTTCTGCAATGCTGGAGTTTAAAAAAAACCAAAACTCCTCTGCCCCCCATTAGGCTGAGGAGTCAGGAGTTTACATCCTGCTCCTCCGGGTTCTTGATGTTCTTCACACAAAACCCATCACAAAAGGGAGACAACTTAACCAGCCACTTGAGAAAAGGAGGGAGGCCACTGTTTTGGGAGAGAATAAAGCAATTCCTCAAGTACCTGACTGAAGAACTTCTAATATATTTTTAACAGCTAAATTTTAGAAAACCTGCAATCCTTTCCTCTAAACTGCTCCCTGCACTCCTGACTAACTTTGGTTTGGGCAGGCAAAACACAAAAATTATGAAATGAGAAGAACCCCAGCACCTGAGCTGCTCCAATTCACTCACCACAGCCAGCCAAGGGCCCTCCCCTTCCAGTCACATTTCCAGTTTATCATTCTCCAAATGTTCCTCCTGAGCCCAGGCAGCTGCACAGCCATCACAGCTCTGGGATGCACCAAGCACTTTGCAAGATTCCAGCTCCATCCTTGACCCTGCAAGACCAGCCATGCTTCCAGTTGGGCAATGAACATGGGGGTTACTCAGCTGGCCTTTATTTACCCAATATTTCTAAATAAAAAGGGAGCAGTCACCAGATCTTGTTGGTTTCTGAATAGCCCTTTAAGTTCATGAGGCAAGAGGAAGCTGTTGTGTTGAACCTCTTTGGAATATACATAGGAATTTCAAAAAAAGAATTAAAAATTAAAGGAGGGGAGAAAAAAAAGGCTTTTTCTCCTTTTTCTACTGCCAGAATGAAGAAACACACATACATACAGAAGTTTTGCTCTTTCACTTTAAATAGAAGATGTATCACTGCATAATTTGCTGATCCCATTTTCAAACCTGTCACTTTCTGGTGAAGTCCTCAAATATCCAAAATCTGGAAGAAGCAAAGAAATAACTGGCAGCTTTTATTTAATCCAGAGCTGGTGGCTCAAAAAGCACAAGGCAGCTGAATGTCACAGGGGCCACCCATTAATGTGCCAGGACACTGCACTAATGTGTCCACAAGAGCCTTAAGAGCAGGGAGCTCTCCCAGCAAAGAGACACCTTTACACTCTACAGAATTATTGCACTGGAATTTCTCTCACAACCTTTTATGATCAAAACCTGATTAAAATCCTAATAGTGTATTTTGGCTCTATGCGTAGCTTTATGACCAGAGGGAGAATTATTTTTCCCCAGACAATGCAAAAACTAAAATTCCCTTTTCATAAACAGATGTTTAATTTGGGTTATCTTCTGTAGTGTGTAGCTGCCTGAATTTGCTATTAAAACTTGCAGGCACTAACAGCAGAGAAAATGTAATGACATCTCTCTGGCTCTCCTGCACTCTGCAAAAAAAGTTGGGTTTTTGGGGGGTTTTTTGGTTTTTTTTTTTTTTTACTGCTGCAATTTATTTTGAGGGCTTGGTAACACTGTACAAGGCAACTCCAGCAACAGCCTCTAAGCAGTGTCCAACACTGGGAACCTTTGGGTTATTTTTCCAGAATCATGAAACGTTTTGCACTCACCATTGTAATTTTTCTAGAATTAGTGTTTTCAAATATAATTTTAAAACCCACATATGCATTCTCACCTGTGAAAAACACTTAAATAACACCATAAAAATTTTAAAAAAGACAGGAAAGGCCAGCCCCTGCCTACCCACCCCACCATCCCTGCCAGAGATATCAGACCCCTTTTAGAAGGTGTCTGTTGGAGAGATCAGATTATTGATGCATTTGCAAGTTTAAAGAAACTGAGAATATCAATTCAAGGGGGTTTTGTTGTGGGTTTTTTTTTTTTTTGTTCCTGTTGGTTGTTGTTATTTTGGTTTGGTTTTTTAACGGAGGAAGAGAGGGGTAAATCAATAAATCAGAAAACTCACTAAGCAATTTCCCGCATTTAGATATGAAAGTCAATATTTAGGCAATCTTTAGCAGAAAGCAGGATTGCACTGCATGTACTTTGTCAGGGAGTTGATTTCAGATGGAATATGAGTGGTCTAGATACAAATTTCCCTGACATAAATATAATGGGACATTAAACCCTTCTTTACCTCCTCCATATGAAAACAAAATTTAAATAACAGCCTTGCCTTTCCTGAGGGTGTGCATTTAATTTCATAGTCAGAAAGTCTGCTGCTTTTAGCCATCTGTAATCCTGAATCTGTTGGTAGAACTTACTAAATAAACATTCAAGTGAAGATGAAGAAACCTATGTCTGCAAAAACAAAATTTCTCTTTGGCAAAAAATGTACAGGGCACTGACAGGAGATTGCTCCTGTCTCCATCAGTCTCTTAGGCTTAAGCTGGAAAAGTCAAATCAAGATACTGTACCACAGAATTCCAACAGATACAACTTCAGCTGACTTTTCTCACTGCACTGAAAATAATCTCTGAGAAAGGACATTCTGCTCTGAAGAACAGCCACAAACCCCCTCCCTACAAATGATTTCTCGACATGATCTGGACTCTGGATGCAAACACAGGCTCCCAGTCACCAAGGACACAAAAATCTGTTTGTGCTCTTCAAAGGATGCACGGGCAGGACAGGCAGGAGCTGGGCTGAACTGTTTCTGCTCAACACTGAAGCTTCCATATTCTCCACACACTAGCTGCAAACTCCACCAGAAATCCACATGGCCTGCAAGGTGTATAAATTTAAAACAATGTCCTATACAGCACCTAATAGAAATCTTCCATCTAACACTTAAGGCGGCATCAAATGATTGTTTTTAAATACACTATAAACATCCCATGGTTTCCTTTGCTTTTTGGCAGTCCAAGGGTTAAGGGGTCTTTTGTTGGTTTTAGATTTTTATTGTAGGCTTTTTTTGGGCAGGTTAAAAAGGCTTATGGCTTCTTAAGGCCAGGTGATAGATTTGAGGCCTAACTTGGTATCCTGTGGTAAAAATAAATGTAGCCCAGGTCTTTGGGAGGTCGTTCTGAGGCACAGACTCTAAGGTCGTTGTAGATCACCCATCTGAAAGGAAAACAAGATTGATTACATTCCATGAGTCTAAAAATCACCACAGATTTATCCGAGACTTCTCAGACCCAAACCTCAATGAGTTTAAAATCTAAAATTAGTCATTGCAATGAGAACAAAGGATCAGAGGAACAGCTGAACCAGCTACCAGAGTCAGGAATGGAAAAGGAGGAGGGATGTGCAGAGGAATGTGTAGTTACAGCTCACATGAAGGAAAATCAGGGATTCCCAATGTCAAATAATAGGAACATATCAGAATCACAGCCAAGATCAGCACCACAGTACCAGCAGCACTGGTATCAGCCCATGGTTCCATGGCTTTGTATTCATGGCAACAAAAGGAAGTTGGGAAGAGCTTAGACAAACTCAGCCAGATCCAGAACCAATGCCCCAAACTGAACAGAGGTTTGGAATGGCCAGCACAGGAGAGCCAATGGTACATTTCATCACACACTTCAGTGGGATCAGAACTGACTCATCACATCTGTGACAATTTTCATTTTTTTGGTGGGAGGCCTACAAATGGTAACAGCCCATGTTGTCTGCCATGAGCATGCCCTGCTCTGTACAGATTCTTCAGATCAAATCAATTGAAATCAAACATTTGCTGATCCCATGTGTCTCCCCTAGCTGCACTCACCTTCCCTCCTTTCTGAGGTGACAAACGTAGTGGCCACTCATTGTGGATGTTCCCATGTGGCTGATGAACCCAAACAGCTCATATCCTGTTTTAAGAAATACAAATGGCACCCTAATTATTTCACTGCAACCACTGCAAGATGACTCCAGGGGAAATGTTCTTTCTAATACTGGAGAAGCAGTTAAGCACTCCCAGCACAGACTCTGCAGCCCCAAACTCAGTTTCTGTTAACACTGCAGCATGTTCCCAACTTAACTAGTGGCTCAGATTCACTGTGAAACATCAAACCAATCCAAATCAAACCCACAGAGACCTGTGCACATACAGCAGGGCTGTGATCACAGCCCCTGCTAGGAAAGAAAACAGCAGATTCCTTCCCAGTTCACAGAGAGCACCACAGAAAGTGCCAAGCAGGGAGTTCATTCTGCACACAAATTAGCTAGGTCCATATGTGTGATCACAGATCTCCTATAAATCAAAAACCACAGAAGTCTGTATTTCAGCATAGAAGAGGGGACAGGAAAGAAAGCTCTTCCTAAAACACAAGGACAATTTTTATGCTTAAAGTCTCTGGAGAGTTCAGCACTGGTTCTTGATGCCCACCCATGCATGCCATTCACCTGAATTATCACTAAAACTAAAAGGGTTCCTTCTTTCAGGGTATTGTATAAGGACATGGGCCTGGATTTTGCTGAAGAGGGCTTTCTGGAGCTATTTCACAGAATCATGTTTGTTATCACAACTTCAGGCATTCAGTAAAGGGTCTCAGTCTACAAAGGCTAAGTACCACAAAAAATAATTATTCCAAGTTTGGGGGTTTTCTTTAACTTAGCAATAAGCAATGTTTCCAATGTCTCCAAAATATTTAAAGTTGATATTTATAATTTTAATCTAACAGTAGCAACCACAGACACAAAAATCAAATTGCCTGGTAATTTTTTTCCTAGACCTTTACATTCAAGATCAGAAGTAGAAGTTCAGAACATACTACATTAGAACTCATCACTAAAGACCCTTCAAAAAACTTTCTGTGACATCCTTACCACCAGCACTGAGCTTTTGTACTCCAGTGCTGTGACACCTCCAGGAGGTTCTTCTCAACTTTGCCTGCTGTACATCAGCCCCATCTTGTGGTTTATTTAGCAGCAGTGTGACAGAGAATCTCAACCAAAAGAAAACAAAACACGCAGGACACCAACTGTACTTTGTGGTAGTATGAATAAGGAATTTGGTTGAAGGGATTATCAAACTGCCCAGCAGAGCACAGGAGGACAGAAACTCAGGTGGTCTGTAGCAGCAGTGTTGTCTTTAGGATGCTCAGCCTCTGAAGATTTAAATATTCTAGCTTTTCTTTGTCTTTTTTTCTTAAAGCAACAGAACAAAAAGTAAACCTAGGCCAAGAGAGACTTGTGTGCTCTAGTAGTAAAAAATTTTGGGCTCTGGTTATTCAGTGAGTCCAAGCAAAGAGTTTTCTGAGCAAACACAGCCCACAGAACTCAGTGGCCCACAGAGCTGTATCAGCCCCAGAAACAAGACTGCAAGTAAATTGCCTGGTTTGTGCCCAAAGAACCCATAATAACTACTTTCAAAACAGAACACAGCTCTATGAACGGGGTGGGTGTGACACAACAGAATGGCAGTCAGGTCTAAGCTGAAGCAGGACTTACTTCCAGGGCCATCTTTGATCCTGGGTCCCTCTGACCCTGGCTCTGCAAGGATATTGGCATTGGCATTGTTCTCCATATCCATGGTGTCCAAAGCAGGGTCACTTTCTTCCTCAGGGTCAGGGTGGCTGAAGATCCACTCCAGTGCACGCTCCAAGTTGTTGTTCTACCAAACAATCAAAAGAGCAGCCTTTAATACACTCTAACATCACACTGTCACTCATCAGCCTTTGAACAGGGTAAGGATCATATTTACTGCATTTAAAAATTATAAGATACCTCCACCTCCGTGGAAAATAGTATTCAGCAAGCACTCTGCAAAAGCTTGACATATAGAAAAGAAATAATCCCACAATTAAGACCCACAGCCCCCTGCTCTTATCTTGCAGACACACACAGTGTCCAAGCATCCAGGTTATTTTTCAACAGGTTGTAAAAGCAGGTAAGTTTTCCTCACTTTACCATTCCACTGAAGTACACCAAGCACCTTTCCCACTCCAGAGAAGTCAGGCATCCCACACCTTGCCAGGATAGCTCCAGGCTCACCATCCATTAACTGGATATTTGCACATTTCAAAGGCATCTGAGCACCCACAAGCACAAAGCACAGAACATGAAACAAAGCCCCAGTGCTACCAATAACTCATGAACTCACTGTTGCCTTCAGCGCCTGAATTGCCACATTCCTCTGGAATCCCATGGAAATGATGATTGCAACCATCTCTTCAGGAGGCTGGTTATCTAATCCTACAGCTCCTAAAGCAGCTGCCCCACTGGAAGCAACTTCCCCAAATGCAGGTATGACCAATGGCTCAGCAAAGTCTGGAACAAACAAACAGTCATCAGTTCCTTCTTTTGCCTCACTTAACCAGGAAGTCAACAACAAACACGAACAAACAACACACAGGACCTCCTGAAATCAATGTAAGTTCATTTCACTGGCATCTAAATTCAGACTTAGATGTGTGGAAAGCCTTGAAAACAAGAAAATGAATGTGCATCTTTGCAAAATATCTAGGTGCATGTGCTCATACTGAGCAGATTGGAATAAGTCAGCACATTGCAGAAGTGAAACAACTGCAGGAAAGCAGCAAAGATTGGTATGGAAGCAATGATGGCATCAGGATAATAGACAACCCAGTGCACAGATGTAAAATGAACTTATTCAATATCTGAAAATGTCTGCTAAGCCCAAGTGAAACTCATTCCCCATTTACACAAGCAACACAAAAGCTCATGGTGAAGCGTGAACTCAACCAAATCTGGGGTTTCCTGGCAAGGGAGTTGTCAGTGCTGAATCATGAGTCCAAACTTTGCACAGATGAAACACAGGAAGTGGAGAACATCTAGCAGCCCTGTCCATCACCAGACAGCCCAAGTATGGCATGAATGCTCCAGCCTGAGCTAGAGAAGGCTGATATGGAAGGAAAGCATCCAGACCACAGGATTCTTTGTACTTACACTTGGTCACAGGTCAGCTTCCCCCTTAGCAGCACGGACCTAGCCAAAGGGTGGAAACAGAGCTGGCCCACACCAGTGGTGAGGACAGGACTTCTGGTGTAGCTTAGTTTGTTGTCTTCTTCTAGGCAGAGGACACCACATAATGGTCAAGATCTGCACATCCCAGGAGCAGCTTAGGAAAATTCACTCACACCTCCAGGTTTCCCAGGTGGGGAAGGGGGGGCCGTTGTTTCTCTGTCACACATTATAAAATTTCTACTGACTGCCAAAATCCACAACCAGGAGCTGAGTTTAACTTACAGCCTCCAGTGACTGACCTGGCTCTTCCATGTGTGCAATGATCCAGTTGAAAGCAACTTCAGCACCCAGGTTGCCTGTATAGTACACAGCCTTCCGACACGCCTCCAAAGGAAAGCCCATCTCTGCCAGCTGCATTACTGAAGACTCATCAATATCTAGGGCTGCAAGAAAGGACCTTCTAAAATATAAAAGTCTCATTTCATCCATTGCATGATATTTCTTATTGTTACTCACGGTGCCATATGTTAGAGTACAGACTGCTTGGATTTGGTTTAGTACTTCAATAAACTCACAGCCATCAGAAAACAGCCTTGTACAAAGCATTACAGTAGTTATTATGGACTTACTGATAATCTTTTGTCTCAGCAGGGACACAGATCCTCACACAAATCATTAAATATTGATTAATTTCTACAGGATTCTATTTCTTTTAAAACACCTCAGCACTGGATTTTAAGGGGTGAGGAAGTCAGGTGCTGAGCTCAGCTAGAGACAGCCAAAACCAAGCCCCTCTCAAAGGCAGGATCTTGCAGGTTAGAGAAATAGCAGCTGCCAGATGTGGCAGCCTCTGGATGACAGGGTCAGACAGCTTTATCTGAGATCAGAGTGCAGAGGGAGCCAGGATAAAGTGGCTGTGACCCCCGGGACTGCAAGATCCTCCTGAGGAGCAGCAGGCAGAGGAGCAGCTCATTTTCTGGCTATACCAACCCTCAAAGAGAGTCCTGCACACATGGAATAAACACTGAACAAGCACAGAAAACAGCTTTTATTTGAAAGCATGCAGGGCAATGCATCATGCATCATGTCTCCTCATGCATCTCTATGAGGAGACAGAAGCCATTAGCTGAGCAAAAGCAAAACAATTTTTAAGCAGTAGAAAAATGAGATACGTACACTCCACGAAATGGTTCATCATGTGATCTGAAAATTAACAATGGAAAAAAACAGGGAAAAGGCTAAGTAGATCCATATGGGTAAATATGGGTAAAACAATTCCATATTTTTAAAATCATAGAAATATTTGACCTCGTGGAGACAGGGCAGTTTCATCCTTGTTTCCCTGATGTTTTTGCCATGAATTAGAGCAGGAATATTTCTGCTCAGTAATTGTTTTTCCCTAACTCAGTTCAGAGCAAAGTGTCACTGATACCATAAACCAGTAGGAAATAAAGCTAATGGCTGACTTAAGCAAGAATCTTTTTTAAAAAGCACCATCACCCATGCATTTACACTAAAACTAGGTCAGTCCATTCAGCAAGAGGGTAAGGAGGTACAGGCCTTTGTGAGGAACTTAGATAAGGATGGAATTAAAACCTTTAGGGAATTGAAGTTTGTCATATCCTTGCTCTGCACACAATTTCAGGTACTAGCTTTCTTTCACATACATACAGTATGGTATTCTGCCACCATTATTATAAATCTCCAAGCAAATGGGGGCACTCATGTCATGAGAGCAGCTGCATTACTGGCTTCATATTAAATACTGAGGCACTCAAACTTCAGTCATCTGGAGAAAGTGCAGCCACCTGGGTCTAAGGTCACACCATAAAAACATGATTTTACTTGCTATAAAGCATTTATTCTCCAGGGAAACCCAGGGAATAAAGAAGGAGGATATTTAATATTCTTGTTTCTGAATAAAAGAAACAGTATAAAAGTATTCAAGAAAAAAAAACAGCACAGCATTTTAATCGCTTCTCTTTCTTTCTTCTCCACAAACATTATAATCAGCTGTTTGCCATCTTCTCCTTGAGATAGAGCTTTTTAAAATGGCAGCCCATATACATCCAGAGAAGAGGACTGTGCATGCAGGCACAGCAGCTAGGGTCGAACAATTCTTGTATTTTTAAAATGAGTAAAATTTAGAGTCTTAGCTCATGCCTGGAAAGCTGTTCTCTTATGCTGTAGTCCTCTGTGTATTAAGTATTGCTGTGCTGTGCTGGACCTGGGAAGTTCACTTTACTCCAAGGGAGTCATGGGCATGCACTGACGGGTCTCTGGAGAGAGTCAAGGACAGCAACAGCAATTATCAAACCTTCTAGGGAAAGGTGTCCCTATCCATAGCAAGGGGGTTGGAACTAGATGTTCTTTAAGATCCCTTCCAACCCAAAAAACTCTGTGATTCTATAATAAATCCACAAAGCAGGAAAGCTGGAAGAACTAGAGTTGTCCAGTAGGGAGGAAAAAAGGCTGTGGGGTGTTGTAAGAATCTTCAATGGCAGAAGCACAGTGCTGGGCTTTTGTTCATAGCTCAAGAGAATCCCCATGTGGTAGAAGGAAAGGGGAATACAGGAGAGAGTAAGTCAGTAAATACCTTTTGGGTCATCAGGAATGACAATGGGAGGAGCAATGTCTGGGAGTTCCTCTTCTCCTGGCTGGAGCCCCCTGGCCCGAAGGTGAGTGATATCCAGGAAATCTGGCATGTCAATAGAAACATCTGCAAGAGCAGAGAAATGGGCTAAGCTTCTGCAGCCAGCAAAACGACCTTATGGTGCAACCTACCCCTTCAGAGAGGGGACTCTGGTACTCAAGGTACAGGAACAGCCAGGATTCTCCTTCTGAAAAGAGCTCTTTAAGAAATATGGAATGCCAAAGCACAATTTAGCTAGCTCAGATTATGTGAAACTGTGTTTTAACTCCACAGACCTGATGGATTGGTTAGATTTGTTGTAAAAGGGAAAAAGATTCAATTAGGATCTTCACAGTAAAAACATTACTTTAGTCAGGTCCTCATTATAGTGTGCACATCTTAATAATTATCTGGGATAGAAAGGTAAATAAAACAAGCACATACCAAGCTTTTTGGGTATCCAGTCAAGGCCAAAGGTGAATTTCTTTATCTGCACCACTAAGTACTCAGGAAAGGAAGCAAAGCGGGAAGTCCTGGGAAGGACAAGAAACAGAATTCATTGAAATCAGGCAACAGAATCCCCAGCAGCACAGATCCCAGTACCTCATGCACACTGAGATGAGCTACTGCTGGTTGATACCAAGGATCCAACCCTACAAGCATTTAAAGTTCAAGTTCTCAACAACCAGACTGAATCACTTCTTGGACTCTGACCATTGAGAACAATAAATTTCCTGCTCAGTTCATCATTACAACTCTTGCAAGGCTGGATCTGCACATCCCACTGATGACCCCCAACACTAACGTGATGCCAGAGCACATTGTGTGTTTCTCTTTGCACCATGCCCAGGTAGCAAGACAAGCACAGAGCACAGTATTTAACAGGCAGCCAGACACATACTTACTTAACTCCAGCAGATTTTGCTTGAAGGGCACTGCTCCAGAAGTCCTCCACATTGCTGGGCTCAGAAAAGGCCTGCAGACAAGCACTAAATGGGATCTTGGCACGGACCAGCTCTGGCAGAGGTCTCCTTGCAGCTTCTGCTTCTCGCCTCTTCAGTTCATAGGCAATTAATTCATCTGAGAAATACACACAACACTAGAAGCTAATGAACATTGTCATGGTTATGTGCTCCTCATCAGGCTTATTTCTGCAAGTTTTAGAAATGCAAAAACCTACTTAGCAAGAATAGTTTTGCATACTTTTAACTAGACATCAAATCTTTTTGTCTGCATTGGGATCAGGAGCTACACTTACAGCCACATCTCTAAGGTTTCTGTTTATGGTAAAAACACAGAACTGGACATACCAGGACACAGGCAATGAAAACTTGGCCATGACAGCCAGAATCCTGTGTGAACAGTAAGGCCACTCACCCACTTTATCAGAGCTCAATCTGAGTTGGAAAGTTATTGCTGTCTATCTGTGTCATCTGACTATTTAGACAAGCCAGGATTATGTATGATCTAGAAAATATCTTGACACTGGTAAGCTGAGCAGTGCCATATGGTAAATTCACAAACTAATCTGTCTTCTGAGTCATTACCTGGAAATAACATGTTCTTTTATAAGTGACAGAGTCATCACTGAAACTGATGAACAAAGAATGAAAAGTTCTCCTAAACTTCATGTCCAGTGCAAGGAGGTGCAGGCTAGGTAAAAGTCAGTAGAATTCTCTGCCTTGTGGTATTTCATAGCATCTCATCAAACAATCAAAACAGAACCTTCTGGTTTTAAAATACTTTAAATGTTCAGATTATGTAGGAAATCTGAGGCACATCTCCCTTCATGTTCCTGTGATGCCCTCTTCACTTCTACCTCAAGCATGCATTTATTATGTTATTCTGCAAGGCTCTTCACCACTGACTGCAGATGCAACCACATCTTGTCAGTGCCTTCCTCCTGCTCGCAAGTGTTCAAGCCTCCTTGGCCATTTTCTCCTTTAAAAACAAGGGTGCTTTTCACAGGCATGAGAAAAACACTCCTGCTTATTAAATAAACATCCAACACTTCATCGTCCTTGCCTCCTCCCCTAAAGCCCAGAACACCCAAATTGTGTATTTTAGATTTATAGATTACAAACCACCTTATACTCCTATTCTCTATTACCACATTTGATCTTATAATAGTCTGGTAAAGAAAAGAAAGCAGATCTGGGGTTTTGGTTGTTCTTTGTGAGTGTGTGTTTTTAAAAGATATTAATTAGCTGCTATGTTCAGTTCATTTTTATAATGAAGATGCTTTCACAAACTGTTTGTCTGTCTAGGACGAAGGCGATTCAGCGCTGGTGGGGACCTCTGGGCACAAAGTGGCACATCCCTGGTCAAGCAGAGCAGTTTGCCCCGTTACCTTTGTTGGTGGCTGCCTCCATGGCCACGGGGAGCTGCATGATGTAGTCCACCCTGTGGGTGTAGCGCACCTTGCGGGACTGGCAGCACTGCGTGCGCTCCTCCACCAGGAACCGGAACACATCGCTGGGGTTCTCCGAGCCCACGGGGTTCCTCTGAAAGGAACAGCACACCAGGTCACTCCTGTGCCTCTTGCAACCCTGGCTGCTGAGGATTTCAGACTTGCTGTGCTGACAGACACTGACCCCCAAGGGAACACTGCATTTGACCTGAAGCCGTAGAGGAAACTTCCAAAATTGCATGATAGGACTGAGATTATGAGTGTGTAGTTTGGATAGAAGTGTGCAATATCACATGGTAGAAAACACAGATTGTAAGGTTGTAGAATGTAGTAATATATATAAAGCAAAATGAAAGTTTTAAAGCAGAAGCCAGTCCTTTTTCTTTAACTTCTTCACTTTCTTCTCCATAGGTTTAAGTAAGGTTTTAATTAGATTAAAAAGTCCGCATTGTGGAGCATGAGTAGTTAGTTATAAAAGAAAGTATGTTAGTAATAAGTTTAAAAGCTTATAACTTTAGTAAGTTATAAGCTTAAAAGTAAAAGTAATTTAGGTGTCATTTCTTAATTAGACAGTTTATCCTTAAGAAGCCTTGTAGAGAAAAAGATACAACTTCATTTTTACGAGAAGTAAAGCTCACAACTTGTAAGACTATAATATAGGTAAGAACTAATAAACATCTGAGTCCAAACAAGAAATACCATCTCATAATTTAATCCCAATCTTAGCAGAGAAAGGAAACAAAAGAATCGACATGTGGTGATCACTAAAATGACCAGAAAATCCAAAGGCTGCTGGTGGTTTTAAGGCCAGCACGAAGACACTGATCACAATCACTGGACTGTGTGCAGAGCTCTGTCCCCTACAGAGAGAAAACCACCAAAACCCACAAATTCTGCACTCACAGCAGCATCTTTCTAAACACAGAATTTGCAGGGTTTGTTCCTGAGAACATATAAGAACCTGACTGAGTCAAGGTGAGCAGAAGGTAGGAAGGTGCCAAGTTACAGTAAAGACAGCAAGCTCAGATAAATAACATGGAGCATCCTCTCAGCAAACAGAGTTGCTCCTACCACTCTGAATATGCACTGAAACAGAATGAGCAACTTGTAGTTCATTATCCAGATGGGAATGTCATGCAAATAATATACCTCCTCTTTGTTGTTCATGGTAATGCCTGTTATCAGGCAAGAAACAGAAAAGTCTCTTCTAACCACCCTATAATCAGTACATGCATTTAGGGATGTGGAACATTATGCATACAAATGTGAGTAACTTCATCTAGAGACTGAACACATGAATAAATAGCCTTGATTCTTGGGGAAAATGGGAAACGAGGGAGGAAGGGTAGACAAGAAATGCTTTACATCAGAACTGCATGTATTTGTAAATTCCTTTTCAGAAAGACAGCATTAAAATTCACAGTATGATTCCTTCACACACAGCACTGAGCTGGAGTTTGGTGGAACTAAAGCTTTATACAGAAATATTCCACTGACAAACAGCCACTCTTCTTTCAGCAGGGGAATCCTTCCTCCCATGATTCAGTAACATACAGCTGGGATTTGTACAACAGCTGGACAGGGTAATTAATTTGCTCCCAACAATTATATGAATTTGGAACAATAACAATAATGATCATAATACCCAATTCATCTATATTCTCTGGCACACTTCAATATGGTAAACAGGAACAGCAGTTTAAAAGGTCACATATGTTTATGAATCTTTGTACATTGAAGCTTGACCTCTTTATATTTGTTAGCAGCACCACTGGCCCTGCTCATGGTCATGCAAGAGTCTGAAGCAAAGAAGAGGAAGAATTAAGGAAGCAAATGTTTCTAAAACAAAATACATTGTAATTGGTCCCACCTTCTACATATCTAAGGCTAAAAATAATACAACTAAAATACCAGCCACTCATGTAACAGTTTTGCCTTCATTGTCTAATATAACCAGAAAAAGAAGCAGCAATTCAGGTTTTCTCACCTCTACTAGATTTATTAGATGAAGGAAAAATTCCTGTGCATCTTGTTGTCTGTTAGAGGAAAATTCTGGGTGGCCTTTACTTATAAAAGCCTTGAACATTCGAGGAGATATTCCATTGTGTTGAGGCTAAATAAAAGAGAGAAAAACCATTTAAAAAGTGATTTTTATTCAATCATGAACCAAATATCAAAGTTATTCCACTAAATCTATCAATGGCCCATTTCTGGCACTGGAGGAATGATACCTATTTTTCCATTTTAATAAAAATGGGAAGGGTCCTGAAACAAGATTTGAGGGAATTTTAGAATATGTTTTATGGCTTAGTTCCTGCAGAATTCACTCTACCTGTCCTTTGGCAATTGGCATTTTAAAGAGATTACTGGAGGTTTTTAAAGCTTAGTAATTTTCAGAAAGGCTGAAAGCCTACATTGTTATATAACATTTGATATTGCTTTCAGAACCCTGTGCCAGAGCATTGAAGCACTTTGGTCTATCAGCTGGCAGCTTTCCTCAGGACAAAACCTTCCAGAGAGCTGTGCAGAACCAAGCACAGAACATCTAATGTGTGCAGCATGCATTCCCAGGTGAGTTTTTAAGAGCAGACATGAATTTGCAATTTGCAGGTGATGATCATGTTGAAAAACCATAACTTACTGCCTTTGGCCCTTCAGTTACATCTGAGCAAACTGCCCTAAATTAGAAAACCTCTGGCTTCCAGGACAGTCCTGGTTTTGACTTTGTAACCCTTTATACCACTTTAAGAACCTCTCCAACCATTCCAGATCCTCAAGACAACACTAGCTATTATGCTTTTCAAATAACATTTTTGAACGGGTCAGAATCTATTACTGAGATTTGCCCTTACCTTCCATGAAACCAAATAATTTTCTGCACAATCCAAGCACAAGTATAACCTTTAGGAGCTCTCAGAGGCTGATAAAAACTCAGCCAATTTCATTCTTTACTACACTTGCACTGTTATATGAATTTAAAAATAGAAAAAGCAGCATGAAATGGAGGCCATATAAAATACGGGAAGAGAAATTTTTTTCTTTGCTTTACCAGGATGAAGTATTCCTAGACCCATTGAAATCAGAAGCAGATTCTCATTTTTAAATGCTTTTTTCAATTCTTGGCAGTAGACCACCAACAACATCAGGCTAAGATGATCCCTACAGGCTCCCATCAAGAGACAGAGTCTCTGTATTGCTTGGACAGAGAGATGCTCTGGGGATTTCTGGGTTATGTACTGCTTGAGTATCCTCAACTGCCTTTCATCCAAACTGGGATGGGGAGATAAGTGCATAAAGCAGCTCACATTGCAACTTCTTCCTGTGCCAGAAGCAGGAATGTGGCACACTGCTGTACAATGCTGTTTAATGCACTCAGTTTGGAATCAAGCCTTGTTTCTACCTATACACTTTGTACTCAGCCCCTCGAGCAGGAAGAAGAGGAGCATGCCATGAGTGACAGTCTGCAAAAAAAAGGATTGAATCTTGCAATCTCACCTCAAGGACAATAAAAGGGGGGAAAAAAATCTAAACTCAGAAGAAATGTTAAAGCTCAAAGCAGAAAATCAAGCCCTGGCTGATGACCCTTTAGGGTCTGAAGTGGGTCCAAGGAAAATGCTGCCATTTCCAGGCTAAACTTCTGTGGTGAAAAATTTCAACTCCACAGCACCACGAATATTTACTGAATACCTGGCATGCTTTCCCCATCAAGAGTTGCAAAACAGTTTAGCTAAATATAGATTGTGCTGGACCACTGCAGATCTCATATGAATGCTTTTACAGGCAACAACTCCCCAAAACTTTGGATGAATTCCAAAGGCTCAGAAAGACTGAGAACTTTGCATATAGAAGGGGAAAAAATAAAGGAATAAAAGTTAAATGAATAATTGATATTATAGACATAAAGCAGAAGCACTTCAAAACATTTAAGGCCTAAAATGCTAAGCAAACAAAAGGGGAAAAAAAGCATCCTCAACCTGAAAAAAAACATAGATTTTGATTCCAAGAGTGAAGGAATAGAGAAAATATCTATATCTGACTTTTTTCTGTAAATAAATCATCAATAAAACAAGCAAAAAAAGCTGTAAAAGCTGTTTCAAATTCTAATATATGCTCTGAATTGCTTGATAAGGATGCTTCATGCATGTAACTTCAGCTTCATTAAACTGAACTAATGAGCACAAGTACTGTTAAATGTCAGTAGAAGCCTACTGCAACCTGACAGAGTTTCATCCCATCTGTCATTAAAGAGTTCTCAATATCTCATCTAATAGTGGCTGCTGAGCTAAACAAGGAGATGCAGCTTTATTCCAAGGATTCAGATCCCTGAACTTCCAGCACAATATTTTCCAGTCACATCCTGGATGTGTTTAGGAAAGCAGGACAGTGAGTACACATAACTCAATGTATGGAGTTTGCTGAAATCTGTCCCACTATTCCTTTGCCCCAGTGTTGATTAGCCTTGAACTTTATTTAATGGGAACAAGTAGGATTCATTTGCTGCTCCAAAACATTGAATTGCCACTGTACAAAGCAATTACTTGGGAGACACATGACTGCCAGGTCATGCAAACTACTCTGCACCAGATGCTCTGTCTGTCCAAAATCTTACTGGCATTCTGATTTCAGGAGAAATTCCTATGTCAATAATTGATAGATGAAGGTAGAGGAAAATATCTGTTTCTTTGGCAACCACCACCATCCCTCAGTGGCAGAAGCATGCATTACTCTTGTGGCTCTGCATGGCTCCTCCACCTCCAAAGCCCTCAGCACCACCTAACCTTGCATTACCTTCTCCTGAAATCAAGTGGAGTATTGTCAGACACGCCCTGCAAACAATTCTTTAGCTATTTCTACTTTCAGTAATTTAAAGAGGGTTTAGAAGTTTGCTTCCAGGACTCTCTGCACAACATTGTTTTTGTTGTTGTTGTTCCTCAGAGAAGATAAACATTGGTTGCAAGTTGTGTGAACATTTGTACTCATCACTGGAGCAGCAGAGCACTTTATCAGCAGAACCAGGGCTTGCTTTGATGCACTGCACAAATAGTGCCTGACTAATTTATCCCTGACTTAGTAATCTTCACATTCCACCTTGCTAAGCATCCCATCCATGCTGGACCCACACGTGTTTCTCCAAGCCCAGCACCTGTTCCCTTTGCTCAGGATATCACTTTTACCTAGTTACCAGTGGCTGTACAAACTCAGGCAAATACCTTGTGTTCTTCTTTCATCACCTGCTCAATGAGCTCAGATTTCATGGGTGGCTTAGAGTATTGGCCTGAAAGGAGGCCGTGTCCCAGTTTAGCCCTGTAAGGAAGAAAGTGGAGGGGTGGAAACAAACATGTGAGAAAAACAGAAAATACTTACTTCAAGCAAAAAAAATGAAGCTTACTGCTTTTGACTCCTTGATGAACCATCATTACCATCATTGCAACTAAGTGGTCAAATCTCAATCTCCCTGTGCCATATCTCCCTTCTGAGCTCATGAAAAGGTGTTCTTTTGCTCTGCCATTAAATCATTTAGTTCTATTTAACCTGACCAAGTAAATAACTGAGAAATGTCACTTACATCTGAGTATTGAAATCTTGGGTTGGATCAAGAGGGGAGTAGTCAAATATTCGTGGAAGGTTTCCCACATACCTGGGCAGCAAGAACAAAGCAGAAACATTCAAATATTGCAGCTTAATGATTCAATCTATCCTCAATGAGTGCTTCTGTCATGCTAAAATAATAGTAAAGAAATTAAGAAATGGATATGGAGATTTTACTTGGAAGCTTCCAGCTATAAAGAATATTGCTGTGTTGTTCATCTGGAATTTACATTCTATTCCTTATTCTTACAAAAACTGCAGGATGGTGTTGGTCAAAACCACAGAGCTGAGTTAAGGACTAGTGTACATTTTATTCCCAAGCAATGAAACCAAGTAAATTCAGGCTTGTAACAGGACAAAAATATGTAAAAAGAACATTTCTATTGAGTTTCACAAGATAAGCAATTCTGATAACACTGAGGGAAACATTGCTCTAGCCAGCCTATTGGAAAGTGAAGCACTCAGCAGCATTCTCTGAGCATTGGCTGCCCTTAAGCACAGCAAAAAACAGCCTGGGTAGGTATGGCCACGGTGCTGGTCCCTCTCTCATCAAAGATCTCCACTATTTTGATGACACTAAATCCCCCAGGTAACTCCCATGACCATGTTGTGGAAAATGATCTTCCCTAATAAAGTCCATTTTGATATTTTTCAACAGTGGAGGTAGAAGAGGTGGCACTTAATGAACCCACAGACTGTACTCCATATGGCTAACAAAGAAAATAAACACAAGTTTTGTCCCTCTTCCTCTCCAGAAGGCAATTTCTAACATGAAAACCTGGGGGGTTTTCCAAAATCTAAAAACTTCACTTCCAGCACATACACTAGTGCTGCTTTGGAAGGAAAGGGCACAGGCTTCTTTCTCTCCTTGGAGTGATGTGTTCAGCTTTGATCAGTCAGGAGTATTTCATATTTTTCTGTTGTGCTTTTGTCCTTTTAGTTATTCAGTGGAAGAATACATTTATACTATTCTTGCTGCTATTTTTTTTTAATTTTAATTAAAATGTCCCTCTGATAGCTTCCCCCCTTAGCCAGACATGCATGCTACAGGTGCAGTGTTTTTCACTAGCATGGATCAATTTCAACATGCCTGTGCCAGTTTTTGGCACAAATCACACAGAATGACTCCTGGCATGGGCCAATACAAAACCCTTAATGTGATACTGACGATGCCCAGGTAAGCAGAGATATGTTCATCTGTACATAAAAAGCAGAGACTCAGACATCAAATATCCAAGGTGGCAAATGATTTCCCATCACTGATGTTGAGACAGTTCATTTTTAATTTGAAGGCAGCTTGGGTTTTACGTTCCAAACCAAAACAGCCACTAAATCCTTTAAGCAGTCACTGGACTGACTGAAAGAGACCTGTTTGCAGGCAAGACAAAAATTAAACCACGATTTTTCTTAGAAAAACAACGAATTGATGAATGCAGCAGCTAGTGACCAGAGGTAGTTTGGAGCTACTTACGCTCGCTGGAACTCTGGGATGCTGAAAATGGCTTGCATGACAGCATTGAGGTAGCAGCTATTCCCCAGGTTCTTCATGCCAGTGTATCCTGGCCCATACATGGGCTTGAGTTTCACACCAGCTTCCTGAATCACTTCCCATTCTGAGACTCTTGGCTTTATGTCATTATCTCTTAGCCCGTTGTCTGTCTGAAAGCAACAAGATTTTCATCTTAGTCTCTTTAACTTCTGCTGTAATTATGCTGCTGCCAACTTTGTGAGCTATACTCCAAGAAATGAAGAGCCAAATCAATGGGCAAGGGGAGGCAAATCCTGCATGTAGGGGAAGATGAGGGTCACAAAGCCAGCAGTTTGTTCCTCCAATACACCTTTGCTCTTTAGCACAGCCACTGGCACTGAGTGCTCCCAGTCGTGACCCCAGTCCCAGCTGGGAGCTTCACTTCTCTCAGGCCTGTGACCTCAGCCTCAGCATCAAACACTGCATCTTTTCAGGTTTCCTATTCCATTTGTAATGGTCAGGAAAAGCTGCTGCTGTAGAAGCTGCTGGTAACAAACAAACCACGTGAAAAGCAGCAGATCCAAGAACTCTTCCCTTCTTTCAAATGGTAAAAGCCAATAATTTGTGACACTGAAGTTTCTTCCCTTTACACTCAGCCTTCAGCCTGTAGGTGCAGGTCACCACAGTGTCATTTACTGCTGGCACTGCTCAAAGAATTGTGCAGACCAAAGACCAGAGGTGAACCTTTGCAACAGCTAAGACTAGGTTTTCAAGGCTCCTGAGTAAAACAGTCTTTCCAGAATGATTTGGATAAAAGAAACTTTTTATCCATGACCCTGGCAAGGACATTAGTATACCAAAATCATTATTAGTGTCATGAAGACTTTTGAAAATACAGTTTAACTCTTCTCTATAATTTAAATTAATATAATTTTCTCACCACTTGGACAATGAAATACATTTAACCAGTAGCAGGATTTTTCCTTTTTAACATTTTCATGCTCTCCAGGTAATGATACTAGGTTATATGCTTGGGTTAAAAAAATAAAACCAAAAAACAACAAACCAAACCAAACAAAAAACCAATACAACCACAAAAACCACACCTGCCTTTATAAGCATATCCTATTCTGATTTCCCACACCATTTAAAGAGAACTGGAATCAACACCCACTAAAACACAAGTTATTAAAAGCACTTCTTTACTAATACAGATACACACAGAGAATCCTTTTTTTCCCCAGTCCCTTTGTAGCATGTCACACCTTTGACCATGCTGTTTTCTAGACTTGAGAGAATGTATTTTTCTCATTTTCTAATGTATTTATTGACAAAACTTAAACCGAAATTTACATTAATAACTTTCAGCCACCTTTTAACTTATCCATTGCTTAGCTTATTTTTGCTTATGAATTGTATCTGTTTACACATTCAATAGGCTTTCCTTCACTCTAATTAAATGTTCCAGACATTTTTCTCTGATTCAATAGCATTTTTCATCTTGAAGTCAAAGGGTACATCACACAGAAAAAGTGAAAAATGTAAACTAAAGACCAAAAGGTACCTCTTTCAGAAGGCAATTTCTGTATTTGAGAACAATGAGTTTGAGTTTACTCAGAACTCTGACAGTAACCCCCAAATTAGCTGGCTGAATTTTACAAAACTGAATACTGTTGTAACAGTCTGAAGGAATCACAAATAAGCTACAGGTGTCATTCTTCTCCTGTTTCTCTCCCACCCCCAAGTGAACAAAGAAGTGAACAACAAGCTAAATAAAAGATGGATTTCCTACCACTTGCATCTGCAGCATATCAATTCCAAAGTGTGCCAAGTGTTTTGCTATATGTGGATCTAAGACCGGCTCCTCTTCATCAAAGGAATAGACATCTGCAAAAGCAGAGAGAAACCAGTGAGCCCCAGTATCAAATGTGATCCCTTCTCCTTGTTTACCAACACTGCATTCTCAGCACAGGGCTGCCCATACAAAATGCCTTGTTCATATTCCTTGTTCATATTGCATAAATACAACGCCTTGTTCATATTCTCCAAGTTTGGTTCTGGCCAGCAGAGAAGTGCACAGACAAACACATAGCTCAGTAAATATCTTAACACAATCACCTCAAGCACTTCACCTCAAAAGAAATGATATGCCTCCACAGCATTAAAACCTAAAAACATTTATAGGGATTACAGTATTTCCCCTCCCCAAAATAAGCAATTTGTAGGGGATGCAAGGAACAGGGCATGCAAAGCCAGCCCACATTTTGAACATGACAACAAGAGATTATGAATTTTTGTAGAGCTACTAGATACAGACAGACCCACGAAAGCTGTGAGTATATCACACCAACTCACTGCTGGCAATAGAATTTTAATTTTTAGTACAGTTTAAGAAATTCTCTTTTGCCTTTTATACACAGAGATACAGGAAGAACAGAGAAATTCTTTGTTAGAATAAGGAGGGGTTTTTTTTGATTACATACCACTGGACTGGACTTCCAAGATTAATCTAACCTTGTGGATAGGGAGAAAGGCTGATTTTCTGAGTGAGGTGTCTTGCTTTATGGTACGGGAAATTTAGATTTCAGTTCTCTATGACAGACCTTTATAGCCTTAAGGAAAAGCTCATAGACATTCTGGCAGGGCAAAGTTCAGATTGTGAAGGGAAGCAGCATGCCTAATGATAACATTTTCAATATGAAACGAAGTTTAGTAAATCCAAAAGAAGGACAAAAAAATGAGAGTAAAAACATTCTTTTTTAGAGTTTACCCATCAAGTCCTATAATGACACTGAGTTCAGAGCAGGTTTCACCTACACGAGCAAATAACAATAAAGCTGTAGGCATCATACAAAGCTAGAAGAGATGCACTAGTAAGACTTGAACACGCTTTCCATCTTTTCTCTGCTCAGGTCTCTACCTCTGTGGTCAATGACTGCTTTGGTGTCTCCTCATACCAAAATCCAGAACCCCTGTGCAACCTCCCTGCATTTCCCTCAGGCACGTTCCCTCCATGCCCAGCAGCTTCTCACAGTGACCCTGCTCTATAAGAACAGACCTAGGCTGGCAGAAAAAGCTTAGCCAGGAGAAAAGAAGAGAAGCAAGCTCACGAGGAGATAGCAGGAGCACAGTGAAGGCTGTTCACAGCACAAATATCACTTCTGGAAGCTCCTCACCCCAGACTCTCCTGGCAAGTGCAGACCCTGGCTCTGACTCAGCCCACCCCTTTAACAACAGGCAATGATCTTTTTAACCCAAAAGACCTCTCCTTGAGGTCTGCTAGTACCAAACCCCCACTGAAATGATGACTGAAGGTTAGCCAAGAACTCAAACACTAACTTTAACATTGACCAGCCCTATGAAAGATCCCTCTGAGCAGGGAGCTGTGCTTTGAGCTGTGCTGCCAGCTGCTGACCAGCCAGCAGATGCCCCACTAACATTGGTGCCCGTGACCTTTGTGGCATGTGCATGGCTGTGGCTGCCCATCTGCAGGAATTCCACTGTGTGGTAGCAAATGCACCCAGAAGACATGACTGTTCATCCACACACATGGCATCACAACGTTCCCATAGCTTTCTGCTGAGGTCACAGCACAGCCAGAGGATCCCAGAAAGTTCAAACCCCTCATGGAGTGAGATTACACAGCAACAGAGCTTGGGTGACTGCCTGCAGTGTGGAAGTTTTTGATATTGTTTTCCCTCTGCTCTGGCAACTGCAGAGAGCAAATCACCTGGGGCTACTGGCCCAGAGCAGCAGGAGTGGAGCACGAGACTAACATTATGCTCAAGCCCAGCTCATGCCTTAATTCAGTGCTTTCTGCTGTGTAGCTTCAATTCATGGGAAAAAGACAGAATTCACTTGTTTCAAAAATCAAACCCAGGTGTGCAATGCTGTCATACCAGACTTGTAGAGGAGGAATGCAGACAAGTCAGCAGATGTGACACACAAGAACCTGGTGTCATTAGAGTGAGAAAGAGGAAAAAGGGAGGAGTGGAAGAGGGGAAAAAGCCCACCAAGATAAATCTGAGACAGGCAACACAGAATATTAAACAGAGAAAAAGTCATAGAATATGCTGAGTTGGAAGGACCCATCAGTATCATCCAGTCCAACTCCTGACCCTGTGCAGGATGCACAAAGAATCCCACCACACACCTGAGAGTGATGTCCAAAAACATTTTGAACTCAGGCTTGGTGCTGTAACCAGTTCCTTGGGGAGATTTTTCCAGTACCCAACCATCCCCAGGGTGGAAAACTTTTTCCTAATAATAGTATTTTCCTGATAATAGTCTTTATGATTCTTATTATTTTAAGAAAATAAAACTGTCAATGCTACTTGACTTCATTCTCTTCCACAGCTCAAGATTTACACCTGTTCTGACTGTTCAGACATCTCACCTTCCTATTTAGATGGTAACAGGCAATGGTAATATTGTCCCTAAAGAAAGAAGTGGCACAGGATATCCCCAAAAAATATCTGACAACTGCTAAGATCAGCATCCACAAAGCAGCTCCTTCAAGCATTGATCACAAGGGGTTTGCCACTGCCAGTGCCCAATTCCATGCTCCAATCCATTCCAAACAAGCAACCTCACAGTGACTGGAAATAAAATCCAGTGGCACTGTCAGAGAGGCAGCAGGCAGCACAGCCTGCCCAGTGCTCAGCCTACTGAGGAAAACAACATTTATGACTCCCTGGTGCATCCTGTCCAAGGTACACGCGTGGGGGAGAAGCTTGGTTCAGTGTCTGCCCTGATCCCAGATGTGTCTGCTGACAGAGTGCTACAAAATGGGGCTAACCTCAGGAACCTTTCACAGCACAGATTTCTCAAGGCAAGACAAAGAGCTCTCCTCTGTGTACACATGGGGTGAGTGTCAGTGCAACAGTGGCACCACCTCCTTCTCCTTCCTACTGCTGTGAAAAAGGAATAAATTATGTCAGGACAGTGCTTATTAGTCCTGTACCATCACCCCTTCACCTTTAACCCAGGGAAGCAAAACCAGACAGATTTTGTGTCACCATCAGCCACAGAGCCTCTTTCCTGAAGCTCATCCATCACCCAGCCCCATTGAGGGGTTATGAGTACTACAGAAATACAGATCAGAGACAGAATAATTACTGAGAAGGAACAAGGAAGGTTGGGGGAGGGAAGACTTTTCTATAGGGAAACCAAGTAAACATCATCAGAAGAACAAAGGTCTGTGGAGAACAGCTGGTGCCTCTCATTCAGAGGGAAGGATGACAGCCTGTCCTTTGTTATCCCAAAGGCCACATAAGAGAGGAAGCAGCTGATCAGTGGGAGGCAGAAGGACAGAAGCCATAAGGAAACAAGTATTGCTGCTAAAGATGGGAAAGCAAAGAAAAAATTCTGAAAAAAAACCCACTACAGAATATCCTGTTTGTTTTGTAGATGCAGTTGAAAGCTACAGCTGGGCAAATCCTAAACACCTTCAATAACTGAGAGATTTGGAGAGAAATCATCCAAGGCCAGGCTCATGCAAGGAAATAAGATTCCATCTGGGAAAGAAAAAAAAATGGTTTTTGCTTAGTGTTTTTGTGGCACAGCTGGTTGAATCTGACTACAGTTGCCTTTCCTCAACACTGAATAGGAGTTAGAAAAGCTCTTAACCGATGCTTGTTAAAAAAATGGGCTGCTCTAAACAGCAATTTTTCATCTCTGTAGTCATAAGCACTAAAGCCAAAATATAATCATGCTATGTGTTCTTCCATTTTTACTTCTCCATGCAGCTGCAACAAAAGATCTCTTTGCTTATGACTCTTTCAGCTCCTCATGTTTTTATTCCATCTAATCCTCACACACCATAATCCCCTCTGCAGCAACACTGCAGAACATCACACTTGGAGAATAAGCAAACAAGGATACAGATACAGCTTTTTTCCCCCTCTCAAGATCATCACACATTTTCCAAAAGAGCATCACAGCAGCCCCATGAAGATGAGTGTTCATTAGACTGTTTCAGCAACATTTTGTTCAACAAGGAAAAAGAGGAGTTTCCACTATGATTAAAAAACCAATACATGCTGTTACAAACAGACTTTTAAATTTAAAAAGCTCATTACCCTGCTGTTGTTTCTTTGTTACAAAAAAAAATGAACCATTTGTCCTAGGAAGTGTAGCAGAACTAACAAATATTGTTTCTCCAGAGTCTGTTTCAGACTAACACTATTTTTATGTTATTAGCCTAGTATTATGCAAATACTCCAAAAATATTTATAGAAAATATAAAATGAGCAGATAAAACAGGTATGGGCTTTCTCAGAATGGAGTGTGTCACTCCCCTCAACCCCGATCAACATTCACAGACTCACAGAGTTTCCTTCCATATTGTAAATCAATGGCGACTCCGACATCGGTGAGGGAGAGAGAATGATGCATCTGATTCCATGGATATCAGAAGGCTAATTAATTACTTTATTATACTATATTATTCTATACATTTAAAACTGAATATGTCAAGCACTCAACCCTGCACACACCTCACAGAATCTCGTGATTGTCACCCAACAGTCCCAACTCACACACACACACACACTCTTGGCCCTGATAGGCCAAGGAAACAAAACACCATCACTTTGGGTAAACAATCTCCATATTGCATTCTGCTTTTGCACAAACACAGGCACAGCAAATGATAAGAATTGTGTTTTCTTTCTCTGAGGTTCAGAGAATGTGAATCCCAGAAATATTCTTGGGAAGATGTGCTACACTTCCACACTCAAACACTTGCACTGAAGCACAAACCCAGCGGGTAACAGACACACACAGTCAGCCTCACGCACAGGAGGCACTTCATGTCAGAACAAGCACCGTGCTCACCTGCTCCATCAGGAGTGATGGTGCCCAGCTTCACTGCCAGGGGATAGCCCGTGTCCCTGTAGTGCTCCACGGCGTGCCCGTTGCCCCCGCTGCCATCGAAGAACCACTTCCCACAGAGCACGGAGCCGTCGCTCAGGTTCAGCCACAGGTTCTCCCGCAGGTCACACCTGGAGCACTTCCAACCACTGCCACACACAACAGGGAGAAACAGCAGCAGTCTGTAAGGCAGGAGCCAGCTCTGTATCTCCCATGATGGCAGGTCAAACCAACCCACACACCCAGCCCAGAGTCACACAAGGGAACTGTGGACTGAGTTCCTGCCTTTAGTTCAGTTACCGTGGACTGAATTAGAGAGCCTACAGTGAACAAACCTTGTTGCCCTCACCTGGGGGGAATTCTAACACCATTGTCTAACTGTACAAGTGTTTTAGCATGTTTAGATGCCTGCAGCTCTTCTTCCCAGGAGTCAGGTTCCTGTTTCCTGTAGGGTGATTTTGCACTGAGCAGTGCATCACAAGCTATCGTCACCTGGAAGACAAATGGATGTCAGTCAAAGCCTGACACGACTCAGTGACTGGACAGAACCTGGCATTCAGCCTATTGCTAACCACATACAGAAGTGCTTATCAGTAGGACTATTTATATACTCAAATATGCATCTAATCTTCTAGACTGTCGTCATTATTTTAGCAGCAGAGTAAGCATGTGTGCTATGTGAGCTTCCCTAGGACAAGCTGGCACCATAATAAGGGAAGAAATATAGGAGATAGAAGAAACAAATGTAAAGATTACTTTTTTAAATTACTGAGACTCTATTATATCTGGTAAAGAATAATATTTATGTCCAAACAAGCACTGCACATAAGAAAACAAGGCACTATCTTGACAAAAACAGAAACAGGAGACAATTCCAATGACCACTTCCACACACCCACTGACCAGTGCTGGTAGCTCTTCTATGTTGGGTAATGAGATTTCATAGTGATCAGGAAAGATAACAAGTTTTGCTTCATCCTCATATTCAAAGTCATCACTGTTGAGATCACTGCTTATCTCCAGATCTGGAAAACAAGATGGGCAATGTTAGGAGATTGTCCCATGATCGAGGCTCCAAAACTGTGACAGGAGTACCACCACAAATACTGCTTGCCTGCCATCAGCCAGTGGTTTCTCTAGCTAGAAATATTTGTGAAAGGCTGATCTAAACTGAAATCTCACCATCCTTCAAGAGAATGTTCTGAAGACCAAAATCTCCACTTAATGCCATCCCCAGTCACAGATACAGTTGGTTTGGCCTCTCTGCAAGTAGTGCATGTTGCAGACATTGCATTCTGCAAAGCAACAAACAAAATTCTGCTCCTTTTACACAAAATCAGGGTGCCATACTGCTGTGCCTTCTACCCAGAATCTTGAAATGCTATAAAGCATGGAGGCCAGGTTGCACTGCACATGCCCAAACTGCAGAGGACAAATAAAAAGAGCACCCCATATTTTCCAGATCACAGACCCATCTGAAACGTGCTGTGGCTCCCATCCATCTTGGACCTGTGGCCTTTCCTCCCAGAAAGATGTCCATGGCTGGAAGTACTCCTGTGTCTCATCCACAGTCTCAAATAGCTACAGCATGTACAGTAACACCAACAATATCCCTCTCTTGCTAACTCCACCCCTTAATCAGGGTAACTATCTGTTTAAAAAGCACTCATTAGCTACTAAAGCTTTCCTTTGAAGATCAAGCCTTCCACAGTGTTTGTGTACATTTTCCTTATAGTGTAAGAATGACTTCTTTTCTTAAACATGAGCCTTGAGCAAGCAACATTAGCTAATGTTTGCCCATAAATATGTGGACCCATAGAAAAGCAGGAGGGTATATTGGGAATTAAATGGCTAGTGTTTGTAACTCTAGCTGCATGAAAAATATAAATTAATTATCACATAGTGACAAGACTGAGTAAAACCTTGTTCTGTTCTTCCTAGGACAAATGAAAAATGGAAAACCAAACATGCACATGTCAGAAGTTTTGCAAGATTTGACTGCAAGAATTGCCCAGGCAACAATGGGATTTTCTGGATCCTTCTCCCACTGGACATGTGGGATCCACTGTATTCTGATGTACCAGTCACTGATAGAATAAGGCCCAACCAAAAAAAGAGATGTGTGAGCAGTAGCCAAAGCTGGCTCTTAATTCCCCCCCTAGTACAAGCAGATGCTTAATGAGTCACTCGATCCTAAACGAGCATTGGCAGCAACCACTGCACCCTGGAATCTCAAATGTATGTTTGGGACAGAGGTGAGGATGACAGAAGCCAGATTCAGAAAACTGAGCTCCCAGAGAGCAGTAACAGACTGAGCAACCCAAATGATAAAACAAGTATCAAAATATATTTTAGCTTGACCTGGAAAGAACAGCTCTTGAGAGGAACATCAACTCTTGGCTCACCTGCTGCACCAGCAGTCCTGAGGTGACAGCACCCACTGTCAGTGACTTCCAGCACCATGAACTCCCTCTCACCAGCAACCAAAAAAAGCCCTTTCTCATCAGCTCAACACAGACACAAAAGTAAGAACATTGTCTCACACTGAAAGCATGACATTTTTAGAGAACATATTAATTCATTACTAATTCCCCAAATCACACTATTTTCATAATGATCCCTCACTTTACTCCAGGCTTCTTTCTCAGTTTGTATTACAGCTTGATACAAGAGTGAATCTCCACAGCTGCAGTTTTTAACAGCTCAGTGGAACAAGGAAACTGAGGATGTCCAAGCTGATGGTGCATACGGCAACGCATCTCAGGGGATTTTCATTTATTGCCAGAGATGAGATGGTGGCCAGCACAACAAAGCCAAAAGTACTGACCACCTCCTAAACGGGAGAGAGGTTCCTCAGAGAGGATAAAAGCTCAGGTTTGGAGGCAATGAACTGTGGTCACCCAGTGCCTCAGCCACCAGAGGGAACCTGGCACCAGCTCACAGCGGCCAGCAGGCTCTGGGGACTGTGTGACACCCACTGATCTTCACTGCCTTGTGCTCTGGATATGAACTTAAAGCACCTGCAAGCCCCTTACAGAAACAGCAATGATATGGTTGCCTGTGTTGAAAATTCAGACACACACTGCAGCTCCTCTGCCCAACCAGACAGCAGCCAAACAGCAGAGACTCAGCGCTGCTGGCCTGACCTGCATCTGAACCAGTGATCCAGGCATGAAAGACAGAGGATCCTATTAGCAATCATCTGCAGTCATCTAAGGACTTCCCATGCTCAGCAGCACCAGCCTCCTGTGGCAATGGGCAGGGAAGGGAATTTCCTTTTTACTGCTCAGGCTTCAGGCCATTCATACCAGCAGAAAAGCAGAAAACAGTGTCCCATCAGCATGGGACTCTTTCTGCCTGACATGCTGATATGGAAGCACCCACTTGTTATTTTAAAGGATGCACAAAGCTTCATAACAGTCCTGGGAAACATCATGAGGATTTAAAACTCCGCTTTTGAAGGTGACCACCTAAAACTGATGCACTTCCACCCAACACCTACTCCCTCTGACTGGGAATTAGAAGGCACTGCCTTATCACTCTGAAGACAGTTTCTCAGAGTCCAGATCCAGTACATAAGGGTGGAATGGACTTCTAAGGTCACAGGCTGAAATCTGTCCATAAAGAGCAGGTGACCATATAAACTAATCCCTTTCAGGGACACTCAGAGGGACCCCTTTATGATGTCACCTGAAAACACCCAGATCACCACTCATATATTTAAATCTTGGCTTGAGAGACATAGCTGATAAGTCTGGTAAGAAATTGTACCTGCATTATATTTTCTGTGTCTGTGCAAGGGCCAGCAAGGCTAAGAAAGCATGAGGGCAGAAACAAAAAAAAGCAGATGACTGTGACTTTAGAAGGCAATGGAGCCCACACTAAATGTGGACAGAATTTGACCCTGAAACCACTGGGCATCATGTGCAGTCTGCAGGTAGTTTCTAGTGCAGAATTTTAGGGAGGACTAAGTAAGTACAGGAAAGAGGAGTAGGGTGAAATCTACTTGCAAAAGGAGCATATTTGATTAAAAATTACCACTAAAGACACTGAAAAGCATGAACTTTCAAGCACTATACTTCATCCAGAGTTGTTTCTTGATCAAGGATGATCTTCCAAGATGCACTGTGAGTAGAAGGCAAATAAAAGGCCTTTACTCAGTTCTGAGACTGAGCCACAAGACAACCAGCCAGTCTGTAATCCTTCCAAGGAGTGACAGCTTGATGGTCAAGGCCCACAGGACACTGTTTCCCTTCCAGTGGAGTAACACCTTTCTGGTGCCTGCTGAGAGCCTCAGCTCAGCTCTTTGGCCACCAAAACCAAACATCCACAGATTGTGAGTGCTGTGCTGGGAGGGCAGGCAAAGCAAAGCAGCAGACACCTCAAAGCAGAGGCTCAACTGGCACTGATATTTTGGGTGAGTGGTCAGTAGGGTAAATTTACTGCACCTCACAAGGCATCACTGAGCGACGGTGAGAATGTGCTGCTGCTGAACTGACTGAAAACAGCAGCTGGGAGAGACACTACTGTAATGTAAACCAACCCAGCAGAGGGGAAGAGGAGGAGTGGATGTGTCCAGATCAGATTTAGACAAGTTACCAACTGACTGCACTAATAATAGGGGCATAAAAGACTCCAGACAGGACCCCCAAAGAGGATTTCCTGCGCATGTGGATGTGTCTGTGTGCGTGTGAAAGGGAATGCAAACGTGAAAATTGAATGAGGGTGTTGACTAGCAAGTCTACAACTGATTTTGAAACCCTAGAAAGACATCTTAGGAATCTGGGCTAGATCCTGCTCTTGCTGAAAGCAATAGACAAATTCATATTGACTTGGGAAACCTGGGTCTTTAAATCAAATTATTTCTTCCTGCCTCTAAATAATAGCGAATTGCAACAGCAGCACTTTGCAAACTATAAGCTGCTCACTTAATTTGTTTTTAGGCATTTGTTGTTTTACTCAGGTAATTTTTTTTTAATATTAGCTTCATCAGATGAATTATAAAACAGAAGAATTTTTTTTTATTTTTTTCCAGTCATAACATTTTCCTTTGCAGAAAAATGAAAAGTGAAACTTTCTACAAGGATCATTTGGCTGATTCACTACTTGTAAAGATCATTCAAATTGCTTGCAACATCTCCAAAGTTTTTTTATATTGTTCCTATTGCTAGGTAAGACCTCATCCCTTGCATTTCTAGGATAGTCATATGTTAAGCAAGCAAAATTAAACCATAAAAATTCAAATTCAGAACTGTTTTTGACAGCAGCATTAGCCTGTGTTAATCTAGTCTAATTTTCACAGTTCTACCCAAACCAGCAAGCTATTAAGAATCTGTTAGTGTAAGTATCTGCTCACCATCCTGTACTCAATTCAAGCATACATGGCAAAGCTAAAAAGCAACAACCAATCAGTACTGCTGCTGCTGCAGGGGAATATGCACTATTTTACTGGGCTAAATTGCAAAAATATTGTCAGGAAGTGCTTAAGTTCCCCTACATCCCAAGTTTTCATTCACAGATACAGACACTCTATTTCTGCTTACTCACATAAATGTAAACTTTAACCACTCATGGTAAAAGCCCTCTTCAGAAGCTCTCCAAACAAAAACATCCTTACTGCAAATAGGGTTCTGCTCCTGGGAGAGACAAAGTGAAGCTGTGGTCAAATCCAGACAGCCACTCTTAAGAGTGGTCTTTACACTTGGAAACAGTAGTCATGAGTCCATCCTCTGCCATCAGCAGGGAGGTGCCATCCAGGAAAAGCTCAGCAAGTTCACAAGTTCTCCCAGACTCTCCAAGTGGAAGTTTTCCTTTCCAAGGTGTCCTGAGACCCGCTGAGTGTCACAGATACTCTCCCCTGCAGCAATCACAGATCTGCTGACAGAGCTGTTCATCTGAGGACTTCAAAACACTTTTAATTGATGGTCTGAGTTAGTCCTGACTTTGCTCAAAACAGAGCTGCCAGAGCTTGCTGCAGTGGCAGATGATGCTCTGGTAACCAATCTGAGACAGGACATCTGTCTAGGGAGAAGTTTTATGACAGTCACTCTGCCAGCTCTGTATAGTCAGGAGTCCAGGCTCTGGCATGGACCAAGAGATGCTCAGGAGGAGGGAACCAGAATCAGGCAAAAATGGGGTGATTCCTCCCCCAATGCAGAGTTCAAATATCTGCCTGAGGTGTTTTGTTTGCTGGGGGGAGAGGGAATGGTGTTTGCTGGTTGGTTTTGGAGAAGGAAATAGGGGGAGATACTATGTGTAGATGCAGTTTTGCTACTCAAAAGAGAGGTTTGCTTTATAAATATAATATGATTTGATATAAATGATAGAGAACAAAATGTAAAGTGTTGCTTTACTGGTGTTCCACTTAAATCTGCCACTGCTGCTGACAACTGAGCTGACATTTCAGAGAACCATTCACCTCATCTCTCTCTCAGAACCACCTCTCTGAGCAGCAACAGCAACTGGGACCACATCCCTGTGCACACACACTCCAAGCACCTCTCTTGTACTCTTTGCATCTTTCAACTGCTTCATCTATTGTTTAGTTAATCAGTAACACCTTAAAAATCACTTTTAGATTTAACTCTAGGTAATTTTAAATAAACCAGAAAACTTTTTTTCTTCAGTTTTCAATCCCTTTCCAGACTGTTTACGTTGCATTATTCTTCATAATTACAACATTCTGAAAGACTCTGCTGGTAACTCTTGGGATAATATGTTCAGGGGGACTCTGCTGGTAATTATGGTAAAAATTGGACCTCCAATCCCTTCAGCACAAGAATCTTTCCCCTAATTCGGCTACCCCTTTTGACCAGAAGCTCATAAGGATGATCACAGTACACCCTATTGACTGAGTTTTTCTTATCCACACAAAAGGCACTAAGACAGACAGTCTGCTTTAAATATCACCCCAAATTCCCTGAAATACTGTACAGTCTGAGCTGAAGTTGTCATGTCCACACTGTCTAGCAACACCTAAACCAGCCAGATTAAAGGCAGTTCATACATTTCAATAAACAATGCTGTTATGCTTCCTGATGACACAGAATACTCACAGCCAACACCCTTCAGCCTTCTCCAAAGAAAACCAAACCAAAACATGCCCAGAACCTGATGCACATGTGCAAGGCACACACATTTTGCTGTGAATCTTCCCATGTTTAGGGAAAGATAAATATTGCAGCTGACTGGCCCAAGCAGCCTGTGTTTCTATTGCATTTACTAGATAGCAGCAGTGCTAGAAAGTAATCGGTGAGCATCCAAAAGATGTTTTCCTAATACTAAGGAGATTGAAAAGGGTTTAGTATCTTTAATAGTTTTACATCAAAGAGGATTATAACAAGCAATGTAACAAATGCCCAAACTGGATTGACTTTGTACACAAAGCTTAAAGCTCTGGGCCTTCAGGGAGTTATTGATAGATATGTAGGAACAGAGGGATGCTGGAGCTAGGCACTGATCCTTGTCTGATTTTGTCTGCCAGGGCAAGCCCTACCTGGCAGGTCACATACCTGGTGTGATAAATACAGCCAGGATAAATTCACCATGGGCCAGCAATGTGCCCTTGTGTGCTCTAAGAAGGCCAGAGTATCCTGGGGGCATTAAGAACAGTGTGGCCAACAGATCAAAGGGAGATCATCCTCCTCCTCTGCTCTGCCCTGGTGGGGCTGCACTTGGAGTATTCCATCAGTTCTGGGCTCCCCAGCCCAAGGAAGACAGGGAATGCAGAGGGTCCAGTGGGGGGCTGCAAAGATAATTAGGGGACTGAAGCATCTCTCTGATGGGGACAAGCTGGGCCTGTTCAGCCTGGAAAAGAGACTGAGAGGGGATCTTATCAGGGCACAGAACATCTTCAGGGCAGCTGTCAAGAAGATGGAGCCGGATTCTCTCCAGCAATGCCCAGTGACAGGACAAGCCACTGAAATACGGGAAGTTACATCTAAATATGAAAAAAATCTTCCTTACTTTGAGGGTGACAGAGCACTGGAACAGGCTGCCAGGAGAGCTCATGGGGTGTCCTTCTCTGGAGATATTAAAATATGCCTGGATAGGATTGTGTGCAGCCTGTTCTACATGAACCTGCTCCAGCAGGGGATTGGACATGATGATCTCCAGAGGTCCCTTCCAACCCCAACAATTCTGTGACAGTGCCCAAGGTCACAAGGAGAAAGACAGAATTAAAACAACTTGTTTAGATGAGATGAGCTTTCTGAACCAATGAAAAATATGTTGGATTAAGAGATAAGACACCAAATTTTGCTAACCACCTCTGCTGCTGTCATATGTGAAATTATCAAATCAGCTACCTCTCTGTGCTTTTGTTTCCTCAGCTGGGAACAAGGACAGGAAAAATTCTTTGCTCTTTGCTTTAAGCATGGCTAAAACCAGTAACATCTGCTGATCCAAAGAAGTGGACACAATGCCTTTGGAAGCATGGAAGTACTGTCTCCAGGAACAGAGCAGACCTGACACCAGTTCACTCCCAGCCAGCAGGGGCTGCAATGAAGGCTGCAGTGGAACAATAGACCAGATGAGACACATTTTCAAAAGTGCATTTGATTCCAGAAATGCTGGATGAAATGGTGGTAGATCCATGTCCTAAACCCACCCCAGTGAAACTGCACTGCCCTCAGGAGCTCCCTTGGAACTGCTGCTCAGGACCTGCTCAGAAGGAACAAAATGCTCATGCACAAGGGTGGAATTTGAGGATTTCAACGTGGCACATCAGAGACCCTCTGCTAGTACCCTTTGTGCTGGCACACCTTGGTGACAGGAACCTTCAGGTGTATGCAAAAGATCAGCAAGAACAAAATTTCAATGTGCTTTTGTACTTTGTATTTACATTCACATCGCTAACACTGTGCAACCACTGCTGCACTGCAGACAGCTTTGTCTCTGAACCAATTATTCTGTAAGCATCCAGTGACAAAGATTTCTCAATATAAACTGGCAGTAAATGGCATTTAGAGCAGCATCTGTGATGTAATAGTCTCTTCCTACAAGTTTAACTTTTTTATTACACATTTTCAGTCTTTTTTCTATCTCAGCCCTCCTTGCAAGACTTACTTACATTAACAACAACAATTTAATCAATCACAATCTGAAAAGACCTCTTAGGGACATGTTCCACAGATCAAAGCAATTCCAGCAGAAGGTCACTCTATTGTTTCTCCTTAGCCATAAGAGCTGGCAATTGTAAAGAAAACATTTCACCTTTTCGTTACCTGAAGAAAAATTCACTATTAATACAGAGACAATAAATAATAGATGAATTGGAGAAACACCACAAGCTGTAGAAGAGAGAATCCAGGCTTTTCATCACATTCTCCTCATCCATATTTATGAGTCCCTCAGGTTTTCTGGGTAATCTGAATAAATGGATTTTGGATGATATGGGCATGGTAAGAAAACTGCTTTCCATGAAGCAAGGGAATAGAACTGTGGACATAACAGAATTAGAGATGCTCATAGTGTATGTGCAGTTGTATTCATTACAGGAGAGACAACAACACCACTGAAGAACATTTACCTGTGTAACAAGTTAAAAATGGTAACAACCCTTCCTATGACCAGCTGCTGAGCAGGACAGAGCCACACTGAGGCCCTAATAATTCTAAACATTAAGTATGGGCCAACATTCTAATAAAAGAGTGCTTTTTGGAAATTCCTCAGAGAGACAATGAACAGAATTAGTAAAAAAGAGCCTTTCAAAGCCTAGGCTATTTTAGAATAGTTGAGGATGTATTTTACATTAAAATGTTTCATGTATATATACACACACCTTTCAGTATGCACCCCAATGGTTAAGAATTACTCATTTGCCTGGAAAACCTTTAAAATCCAGAACCAGAAGCTAAAAAGAAAACCAAAACAAACAGCAGGAAATGAAAACCCAAAAGGAGCCCCAGAGCCAGACACAATGGTGGGCAGAACCCAAGTCCACATGCAGACAGGGTCAGAAAAGGACTGTGTGAAAGCAGCTGCTCACAATACCTAAAAATAGCTTAGCGTTCCTCCTTTTTGGTAAAGCTCCACCAGATGCTCCTGGTACCTTCTGGAAAGAGAGAAAGAAACAATTAAAAATCCATCAATGAGACAAGAGTAAATCTGCATCAACCCCTCCCACCAAACCCCAGCCCCTGGTGAGCAGGGCTGTAAATGCTCTTTGCTCTCCTCTGACTCTGGCACTCAGCAGTGCCCAGGACACCCATGGACAGAGGGAGCCTCCACCTGAGTCCTTCACTTTTGGCTTGCTGGCATTGATCAGAGCGTGTCCCACAGCCACCAGGGGTGGCAGCTCTTCTGTCACCAAGGCAGAGACACCCAGCACCTCTCAAACCTCTCTCTAGATCCCCAACAGTATTTCTTAGCGACTAAAGCTGAGTTAGAGAGAAGAAAAGGTGATTATCTGCAAAAAGGATTCAACCCTTCACAACTGATTCCAGTAGGACCACTTTGCTTTCATCTGTTAGTTAGGTTCATTTTCTTCTATCCAGAAAAAAATGCCTTTTCCATCAGGATCTACACCTGCTTCCATTAATCCAAATTCCCACCATGTTTTCTAAAGATTAGAAAGTATGGAGGAAATTCGACAACACTCAAGCAATTGCTTACTGGGAGATTTGATTGTATTTTTTTAATTTAAGCACCATTGCAGAAAACAGTAACTTCCAAATGAGTTTAAGTTTCACTACTTTTCCAGTTCAGAACATCTCAGACTACAAGGGAAAACACAACTAACTGAGGAAATGTCAAAGCCAGTGCACTCATTCCTTAAAGCTGTTTATTAAACAGCACCATTAAATCAAATTAAATCAAAAAAGCCTCTGTGGCTACTTGGTGCCAACATGATGCATGATGTAGTGTGTAATGTTAGTGTAACTGGCAAGGTTGTTAGGCAACTTTTTTTTTTTTGTTAATAATAATATTGGGATACAACAGGTGGAGAGAAAGCAGCCAAGAACCTGTCAGCCCACAGGGAAAGTTCATGCTTGCCTCTGCCCCTTCACAGGCAAAAGGGTCACATATTTTGGGTGGTTCCCTTCACCATGTAAACTAAAGCTTTGGCCTCAGCAAACTGCTTTAATCATCAGTGGGGTCTTATACATCATAGGAAAATTTTCCATTCTTAGAAAGAGCAGATGCTGACAAACACCCCTTGGCTGCATTTAAGAACAGAATCCATTATCCACATAGAAAAGCCCTAGGGAAAAGTCAGGGTTGCAACTCCAGCAGTTCAAATAAAAATAAAAATTCCCCAATGAACTGAAAAAAGCATGCAGAATATTTCTTTGTTTAATGCTACTGGAATTTAACAAGTGGGAATTTAACAAGTGGGAAAGAAGTAGCAAGGAATCTATTTTAAATGTATTTTAAATGTATTTTAAATCTTTTTTAAAAAGCAGCAGCAAGAAACAACATAACCCAATTGCAAATACATTATGAATAAATTACACATTCTCCAAGGACTATATTTCCAGAACTAAAAAAAATGTTTTTTCCAAAACTGGGAAACTCCAGTCGAATTCTGACATCACCAAGTGTGATATTGTGAAAGTTATGAAGACTAGAGATTGCAAAGAGAAAGAATTCACATGGAATACTTATATTTAACTCAGGCTGACAATGATTTCAGCTTGATTTTTCCAAATAAAAATACATCAGAATCAAAGCTGCTCAATACTCCTGAAACACCCACAACCTGACAGTCTTTTTCTTACCTTGTCAGAAATCACTGAAAACATTCTCCATTCACACATCCTTTTTTTTTCTAACAGAAGCGACACACCCAACAAATGGGAGTGACATGAGGCACCAGCAGTGACATTAAATTCCATTTGTGATGCTCCTTGGACAAGGTGACAGTGCAGCCTGTTCTGCTGTCTCTCACTTTTGTAACACCATCATCCCTGGATAGCATCCAGAAACCTCTCCCTGCAGGAAATCTTTGTGCTTCTCTGCCCAGGGTTTTCAACAGGGCTGAGGTATCACTACAGCACCAAGCTGAAGCTCTGCCTGGAAATGAACAGCAGCCAGGCAGTTGTATAAAGTAATGCACTACACAGAGGCTGATTTAAAAATCCTGATGAATGTAATACTGTGGAAAAGGAAAAATAAAAATCAATTTCCTTTATTCAGCTAAGAATTTTACCAGGGGTGCTCCATAACTTGTGCCCATCTCTGATGATTCAGCAGAGGCCTCTGGTGCTGAGCTGCCATGGGCAGATGCTCCAGCTCCACTTGAGCCAGCAGGCTGAAGATGTGACCCTTATTTTCTAATTTAATTGTGACAAGATACACAAATGACATTTATTCCAAACATCTTGGGAAGCAACCTGGGATTTCTGCAGCAATGCAGTGCATTCTGCAAGGATGATGCCAAGGGAACCACAGGCAGGAATAGCAGCCTCACTATAAGAATCTTAAGATAGCACATCCAATGCCTTTGGCTTTACTGTATCCTACACCATTAAAAGCTTGGCTATCAAAACCACAATGCAGCCAGACACTTCATAAAACACTTGATGTTTCACATTGCTCAAAGGAAAACATGGATGGCACTTAAGAAGCAAATAGTCATAGCAAAAAAAAGAAATCCACAGCTAATATATGAGGAATCCTGGCTATGAGCCCTATTAGATGATGCAATATTCACCTGCACTGTGTAGCCAAACCCTGTTTCCTGCCACATGACCCAGAGAACCAGTGTGTTGCCACCTTCCAGCACAGAGCCAGCCCCTCTGCTGCATCATGATTCACCCAGAGAAAAGCAGGAACCACTGAACTTCTTCAATCAAAGGGATTTGCAACACCAAACAACAGTTGGGATATTTGTTTCTCCATTTTGGGGTTCTTCAGCCTAATCTTTACCAGGAAAGGAATTTTTGAGTTCTCATTTTAACCCCAGTTTACCTGAACTTATGGAAGAAAGTTATATACAAGGAAAGCTGACAGGATTTCTGCCCACCTGTCTCTAGATAGCATCTTTCAGGAGTGTTAAATTCAGTCAGGAGAACCACTGCTAAAACCAGAGTAGGCTCTGCAAAAACTCAGTTAGCAGAGTGAAGGAAAATGTTTGTATTGCCCTTAGAAGGAAAGGCAATTCTAAAGTATAACAAATATCATTTACCATCTCATCCTGGAAGATATGCAATCCACCTCACTGGAATTCTGATAAAATATGAACACTCCTCTCCTGGCAATAAGGTAAGTGGTTGGGGCACTTTGTGTAACTCAAGGCCTTCATCACCCAGGGGAAGCATTGCCAGAGAGTGAGAAACAAGGACTCTAACCCACTCCAAGCAGCTCTTTTAAGCCCTCCAACTTGCCAACAGAGACAGAGCTTATGGGAGAATGAGCTATAAGCAAACACAGTGCCTTCCTTATAGCTCAGGTCAGAAGTAATTAAGAATCTTTTAAAGATGCCAGACAAACCACAGACAAGCAGAGGTTATACAGCACAGGCTATAAGTGACTGCTGATATGCAGTGATGGTATGGAAGAGCAGTGAACATGAGGCTGTATGTGCACACTCATCTGTGGGGAAAGGCTAAATGAGGGCCAGTGTTGTCTCTAGAATCCAGCATTAATTTAAGCTAAGCTTAAGATCCCAGACCAGGTCAAAGTTTAACTGTACAGGAATCTTAGGATACAAAAGGAGTCCTTTCACCCTGAGATGAAACCTCACATGAAAAACAGAAATCAGCAGCTTCCAGCCAAATTGGAGCCAAACCCAGTAATTGTACACTGGAAAGGCAGGTTTCAGAAAATATTTAGCTATGTAAAATGTGCACATAACATGCTGACAACATGTACGTGATATACAGAAATTAGAAGTGAAAAACATCAGTGGAAGTCAGGAAGGAATTGCCTTTAAGGTCTGACTCTTTAGGGCTTTTGATTCATCCCAGAACTGAAGCTGTAGGACTGGTTGGGATCCAAGCCCCTGGATTTGACATCCAGCCCCAAATGTGAACGTGTGCATTTCAGTCAGCCAGGACTTGGTGTGTGCCTGAAATGCATTGCCCAGATGAGCACAAGAGCCAGGAGCAGTGGTGGGGTGGCTCCTGGGCAGGCACAGGTCTCACCTGTCTCAGGTGCCGTTTCAGGTGCAGGTACACACACTGGCCCGTTTTCCGGTAATGCCGCTCGATGTGCTCCCTTCCAAATCCCAGAAACGTGTTCATGCACACGTAGAGGCCTCCTTCTGAGTCCTGCAAGGAATGGCACAAACACTTACAGCAGGCAAGGACCCAGCACACAGAAAAAAACCCCAAGAATTGCAAACCCTTTCTGTTATCAGGCAAACACCTTAAATATGGCTTTCATAGCATATTATGGTGTTTACACCATCAGTCCCCTAAGAAACTTCCCCATCACATCACATATCATAACACATATCCCACAGCCTATAGAAACTTTTGAAATTGTTACTTTGCAACTACAGATTAGTGAGTGTCCAAATTGGAACTCTAGAAGTCAGTCTTGAAAAATTCCACTTGAGTGCTCAACCCACAGAGGTTCATAGGCTCAGAAATTTGTAAAGCATAGAAATAAGCATAAGCATTTCTTTGAAATAGCAGAATTTCTTGTGGGCATTTGACTGCAAGAACATCATTCCAAACCTGAAGCACAGCAGAGTTGATGGTCCAGGGACTCTGCCACAACTTCTACAATTGATCACAATTTTGTCTGAGAAAAAAGATCTCAAGCAACCTCACAGCCCTTAAAACTGGCTAACAGAAACTTGACAAATGTTTTGTGTGCATTCTTCAGTATTGATCAGGGAACCTCTCCATTCATGCAATACAGAGCTTGGAGACAAGGGCATTACAAAGGGAATATGAAGATTTATATATACTCCTAGTGCTGATCACAAATGCTGACATTTCAGTAATGTAAGCTGGCATCACTTTTTGCTCTCCTTAAAATTGATGCTGGCTGTTACCAGAGTCTTGCTCAATTTTAGCACCACTCTAGGATCTCTCCTACATCAGACTGCCAGGAGGACTTTCAGTCATCTGCTCATTGGTGTTGGATCAATTTTTCCAAGCCCTCTAACATGTATTGTTTTGAGTAGGTGGTGCAGAACAAAGATTGAGCCTTTCAGAAGCTCTGTGACCTTCCTTCTATTGTGAACGTGTTTGTGTCGTTGCACAGCACAGAACATCTTGTGCTAAATTCCCCAAAGAACAACATGAACTACACTCCTTCATAGGCACCTCAGAAGTAAATGATAAATATATATATATGAAAGTAAGGATCATTATCTCCAGAAGCAAATCATATTAGACACATACATGCTGCCTGCTCTTCTATCCTGCATTCCAAATCCTTCTGCATTACTTCTTTCTGTGAGAAAGTCATGGATGTGTCCTCTACAAGAGGATCCTAGAGGTACCCAGTCTAAATAAAAACATACAGTGTTGTCACTCTAGGATCTCAGGAACTTTGTTTGAAGTTTTGTTTTCTTGGAGATCATTCTCTCACTTTCTGGAAGGAATCCAAGAGACCACTGAACCGTTTCTGAGGCAGCCTATGACAACAATCTGACACTTTCAGTATAGGAGCTAAATGTAGAGTCTGAGTAAGTTGGTTGTGGTTACTAACAAAACAGATGTTTCTCCAAGAGGGCACAGGCAGAGTGTTCTCTCCCACAGCTTGGAAAGAAGTGGACAGGCTGTTCAAAAGCTCAAAAGGTCAAAGTAAAACAGAAGCCTGTGTGAAAAAGACACTTTTGTAGATGGCTGAGTAAAGGATTAGGCCCCTGTTTGGTGCTCAGAAAACACTTGACTGTGATCTAAGACAAACATTGTGCTGGCTAATTTAACCCCACTGAGCAGACAAACAGTTCTGGAAGGAATGATACTTTACATTGTCTGTGGCATGTAAATCTTTGTATTTGACAATCATTTCAGATGTGTGTGAAAGTTTATGCTGGAGGAAGGCAGCTTATCTGAAGTACTGGAGACACTATTCTACACCAGAAAACCATAACCTCTCCTGATAGACAAAGCCAGGAACTTCAGCTGGGTATTTTCCCTCCTCATTCTTGCTTGAGGATGCAGCAGACATGTAGTGCGAAGTTCAGGATAAAGCAATGTATAAACATTCTCTTCCCTTATCATTCCAGTCTAAAGGCACTGTTGGGGCAGAAGCTTGTACTTGGTCAGGCTCCACCACTGCCCAGAAGACCATTCAAGAGCAGATCAGCCTTCCCACCTTCTAAGCAGAAGGCAAAGGGATTGCTCCTCACTGCATTTCTGCGTGTTCTTTGCTGCCAAGGTGCTCATGGCATGCCAGGTGCTTCATTCAGAGAGGGAAACATACAGCTCACCTCATTGTGCACTGCTCGTGGCACCAGACACCAACAGATTCCAAACACCCCCAACCTGATCAGGGCTGAACTAATGACCTCCATCCCATTACCAGCCCTCACCAACCATTTAGATCCCTCAGGGAAATTTAGGGTTTAGCAATTTCAGCTCCTGCTGTGGCTCAGACAACAATGACTTCGTACAAACATGAGGGCTGTGGTGATCTCCTAACGTGGCAAAGAGCTGCAGACTCAGGGACAGCGTCTCATGCACAGGTGTTTGCTTTAGATCCTCTGAAACAATGGCAAATTTGCTAAGACAATATCACAGAAGAGAGCGAAATGGCACCTGGAGTCTCCACCAGTCTCCACGAATGAAAAGGTGATCCATCCTGTCATATATAAAATAAAATGTACCAATTATGAGACAGGATCACTGTCTTTGTGTACTCTATCATGGTTTCCATTAGAGTGTTTCCTACAAAATTCATGCCCATACAGAACTGCTACAGGCTCTGCTCAGGGTGTCTGTTCACCAGCAATCACCATAAATTAATCTGGCTGTGGTCACAAGAGTCTTGCTTGTATAACTACAATCCAACATTTAATATATTTGAAAAGTTACAGGACCATCCCTAACATACACACATTGCACTGGATCCCACAATAGCCTAACTAAATTACATACATTTTATTTCAGGACAGGCTGAAAAAGAACAACAGATGTTTTGGCACTTAATATTCATCTCGACAACACATAATAATTTACAATGAAGAGTAAAAAGAAAGCCTTCTCTCTGTCATGTACCAGTACTACCTACATTGAAACAAGGAGAAAAAAAAACCCACCAGCAAACCCAGACAACCAGCTGAACACAACAGGACAAAGAGATGACTCCAGCAAACAAAAAGTTCATTTTTAAGTTTCCACTGCAGTAAATGTAGTTACTTCTAGGGTGATGGCACCAACACAAAAAATGTGTGCTAAGGCCAAGAATATATCTAGTCACATTCAAAAGAAATGTGGGATATGAACAGTGGTGTGAAAACTGCCCTCTGTCACCCAAAGGTGACAGGAAAGTAATGGTGACTAAAAGAAAGCATCAGGTAAATTAGGCATCCAGTAAAAAAAGGATCAGAGGGAGATGCAGAATAAGGAATGGAAGGTCAGTGACATATGCAAACATTGAAGTCAAAATGCACACAAGCAGTGAAGAGGAGCCAGGTACTACTGGAACTGGTGAGAGATGAGAGATGGGAAGAGAAGAGCTGGGTTGGGCAGAGAAAGAAATGACAAAGGATGTGGAAGTAGGAAATAAACTACAGCACCCAGTGATTGGACTGTTAACTTGAAGTGCAAAAGAAATCCTTCCCCTGCTCTTCCTTTACAAAAGCACTGTAAAGCACTGGATATTTCACCAGAAGCAAATTCACAATTGCTTTACAAAGATTCCTGGTACTTCTGTTGTAGCTCCTGAATGGGCACATGAACAAGGCCAACCCAGTACAGCACTTAGAACATTTCCTGGGAAGAAAAAAGCTGTATGGGCCAGTCAGCCACTAAACCAAACCCAAATCTCCACTCCAAGAGGTGCATGGACTGCTCACACCCACCTATAAATCACAGCTGGGCTCCAGAGCAGTGCTATGAATTCCAAAGCAGTGTCTTGGACAAGTGACACGCACAGGCAGGATCAAAGCTTCACAGTTAGTGAGCAAATACAAAGGCAAAACCAATGCTGGGTCAGGAGTACTTCTAACCTGCAACCAGGAATAGAGAACTTTCCATCCATCCCTCCCCACTGTTTGGGGCAGCTTATCCAGGTGAGGCTGTGTGAGCCCCTGGCAGGGGTGTCTGAGACCCACCAGGGCTGAGTGCCAAGCTCCAGCCCAGTTCTGCAGCCCAGCAGTGCCACCTGAGATGTGGGGATGTGCTTTGTGCAGAACCCTGCCTGTACAGCTCTGCTGGTCACAATAACACTGCTGTGCTTCCAGAACAGAAAAGCTGGGGAGAAGAGGTGAGGGGAAAACTGATGGTTCCACAGCAGAGCTCCAACATTCATCTGCATCTCTGTATTTATCCTCTGACACTCTGGGTACCTCAGAATTCAGGTCTCTCTGCTATCCAAAATATTCCTGTCCAGCACCACTCTGGGTAACAGGATGGTCAGTAACACATAAAGAGGAAAGGGCTAGTAAGATCCAAATTTAAATCAACTCCAAGGAAATGCACAATGCACACACACACTGGTTGTTCTCCCAAGCACCATAGTTATTTCTCATGTGTGAGCCACTGCAGGCACAACTTCTGCTGATGTTACCACTCACCAACTTCAGAAGAGCAGTGAGTTAACTGATGTGAACCAGCTGAGTGTCCTGGTGCACTTCCAGCCAGCAAAACACCTGCCCACGTGACAGCTTTGGCATGTCCCTGTCAAGCAGCAGTACCACACTGCTCTGACTCTTCAGGTGATCACCCACCACCCAGCAATTGATTGCCTCACTAACTGGAGGCCATTTTGCAGCTAGGCCAAAATCCTCATCTGGAGTACTCTGTCTTGGTGTGTTCAGTCCCCTTGTTTCTCTGCTGCTCTCATTCCATCAACAGAAACAAGATCCAAGCCTACCCCTCACAGACAGGAGCCTCAGTGACTTCCTGATTTTCCTCAAGGAATATTGACCAAAGGAGCTGCCAGACAGGAGGTGCTTGTTTCTAGAATGTTTTATGCAACACGATCACCAATATCCCTTATACACTCCAGTCTCTCAAGAATTTCAGTCTCAACTGCACAACCAACAGCAGAGCATCAGCTCAGCTCAGACTTTGGGAATTGTCCCAACATAACCATTACAGAGTTCCCAAGCCACAAAAATGAAGTCAGCAAGATTCACAAAGGA